GAGTTTGGGGGTGGGGCCTGAAGAGGGGAAGGTTTGGGGAGGGGAGGGACTTCAATGGGGTATAATGCCATAGAGTCCACCTTCCAAAGCAGCCATTTTCTCCAGGTGAACCGATCTCTGTCACCAGGAAATCATAGCGGGAGATCTCCAGCTACCACCTGAAGGCTGGCCATATGAACTTTCAGATCTTTCCACCCAAGCACTGTGGTTCTCAGCAAGAGGGTCTCCAAACATTCCCCAGTCTCCCCTCCTCCTGCTACCTGTCCAGGGAAGTGCCCTTCTCTGGTAGATAGTTGTCCACTGATTTCAGGAAGATTATGAGAGGATATTTTCCAAGCACAGGAAGAGTGTTTTTTAACCGCACTTTGTGAGCCCAAGCACTACAGGCAAAATCCCACAGCTGATGCTGCTTATGCAGATTCTGCCTCGAACCCAAGGTCTTTGACATTCCACTTTGATGAGCTCTTTGCTCTAGTTTGACGGTGTGAAGCAGCACCATCTTACTGCTTTATTTCACACTTAAAATACCTACCAACCTTCTGGGCACTGCAAACAATTGCTCTCCTTCAATTTGGCCCCGTGCTCCTTAAGAAGACTTGCATATTCCTTACCTTGATCAGGAACACTTTGGTTCCACACAAACGAGTGGCCACGTGCTGCCAAGACAGATACTCATCCACACGGGCTCGTTTCTGCAGATCAGAGGGGTACCAGTGATCTGGGGTCTTGAATTTCCTTGCTAGGTACAAAAGGATAGCGATGCTGTTCCAGAGAGGGAAAGGGGGGAGAAAGCAAGTAAGTTGTGGGGACAATAAAAGAGAAGCAGACTGATGCACCAGAAAACAAGAGGCCAATTCTATAAACTACTCTCCAGAAAAGCTAGAAGGATCCTGAAGGGCCTCCACTGTCACTCTAGAATGAGCCTGAAGCAACAGATGCAATGGTTTGATTAGCAGCTAAGTTTGCACAAGTGTAGAATTTACTCAGGCATAGCTGGTACCACCTATTTTGCGGTAGTACTGCCAGCACACTAAAAGTAAAGAGAAACCTGTGTTTCAAAACTGCTATCAACTTTTTGCAAACTGCACAGCAACCCCTCTTTCTGCAACTACAAGGCCTTGGAATTGATTCAAATGCAAAAAAGGAGAGAGCAGAGATTTCTGCAGTTCTGATAGAACCTGGGGTGCCCAAGAACACCATGCTAGTGTGTACCCTGGAAACCACTTGCTTCATCTCCAAAGCAAAAAAGTCAATCCTAGCTTTCCTCTACCACAATGGAGCAGGGGGTGCTTCAGAAGACATCACATCAAAAATATCTCCCCATCCCCAAAGGAGGAAGCTTGGCTCCAGACCTCCCAACCTCTTGTGATTGCTCCCCTTGGTAGCCATTTTGTGACTGGCCCTACCTCCTGCAGCTACTGTTTTGTAGTGGCACCCACTGCCCTGTTTCTAACCTCCAGAAGTGCCCAGAGGCTTAAAAAGCTTGAGAAGCCTTGCTGCAGACACTGCAGAAGTTTAGCAGAAACTGTATGATCTCCATTCCCGGAACTCTTCAACGTCACACAATTCTTACCTCTCTGATAAGGTGAAGTCAGCATCTTTCAGAGCTGGCACTTTCCCGAGGACGTTCACCTTGGCAAACTCTTCAGTCTTGTGTTGCCCTAGGTAGGTTTACAAGAGGAGTCAATAGTGGCTGCTCAGCAACAAGGAGTGCCAAGAGATAGATACTGGCTCGCTCACACAGCTTATATAGCACCCAATTCTGTGCTCCCGTCTTCATTGGGTGCACTTGGGTTTTGTGCAGGTGTTTGCCTGTCATTTCTCCTAAGCCAGCTACTAGCATTCACTCACACATAACAGAGGTGTTGCAAAGAACAAGCAAGGGGTGGAATCGCATATGCAATTGCCAGGTATAAGCCACTTTTTTGTGTGCATGCCAAATGCCCTTAACACGCCATGGAAAAAAGCTGATGTGTGCATTTTCCAGTGATCTGTGAGACAGCAGGAAATGCATGCACAAGAAGAGGAGATTGGATTGATACCCTGCCCTTCAGTACCCAAAGGAGTCTCAGAGCGGCTTACAAACTCCTTTCCCTCCCCCTCCCCACAACAGACACCCTGCGAGGTAGGTGGGCCTGAGAGAGCTCTGAGAGAAACTGCTCTTTTTTAAGAAGAAGAAGAAGAAGAGATTGGAGTTATACCCTGCCCTTCACTACCCAAAGGAGTCTCAGAGCGGCTTACAAACTCCTTTCCCTCCCCCTCCCCACAACAGACACCCTGTGAGGTAGGTGGGGCTGAGAGAGCTCTGACAGAAACTGCTCTTTTTCAAGGATAGCTGTGCCAGAACTATGGCTTGGCCAAGGTCATCCAGCAGGTGAAAGTGGAGGCGTGGGGAATCAAACCCGGTTTTCCCAGATTAGAGTCCGTGCACTTAACCACTACACCAAACTAGCTCATACCATATATCTATATACAAAAGGGGGGGGATTGTGAGGAAACAGTAAAGCAGAGACTTGAATCCTTCCAACTTCTCTCTCACGCACATGTGCACAGCTAAACTGTACTTCACACTCAAGATCCTCACACAAATCAAGAGTCCTGCATACAGCTGCTTCCACCCACCCAAATTCATCCATCTATATTAATTTAGTCTGTATACATCTGATTCTTTCCTCATTGTCAGATTGAACTCACCACTGCATATTTTAGAAACAAAGATCACCTTGGTGGACGTGTGAAAAAGCGATAGATTTCTGGTCAAAAATTCATTGTGAAATGCAGAAAATGTTTAAATGTAGTTTTAAAAAAGAACCAGAGATTTTATTGCTAGGATTGAAAATAGATGAGTTAAATATACAAAAAAAGATTACGTTTTGGTACCTGATAACAACGGCAAGAATGGTGTATGCACAATGCTGGAAACAAGAGAAAACGCCCGAGATCTCAGACTGGATACAAAAAGTGTTATTTATGGCGGAAATGGACAAAATAACAAGAAAGTTGAACAACAAAGAAGACCAAGAATTTTTTGAAGACTGGAAGGACTTAAAGGACTACCTAGAGGGAAACTGGGATGTTAAGCGTAGTTTATTGCATTTAGAACAATATTGACAGAAATGTTATCTTGTAATGGAATTTAGAATGTTGAAATAAGTATAAGAAATATAAAGTGAAGTAGGGTAGAGCACTGCGGGAAGCCACTAGATAGGGAGGGAAGGGAAATATGGGTATTTGCGAAGGGAAACTAAATGTTCAATGTGATATTATATCCAAAAATAAAAGTTTTGAACAAAAAAAAGAAACAAAAAAAAGAAACAAAGATCACCTGATCGTAGCATTAACTGGGAAAGAAAAAACAAAAGACCACCCAGCCCGGCAAGGCCACTCACAGTGTAGGAAAGACCACACACAGACCAACTCTCATAATCCAAACCACATGCATCAGTGAAAGCACCGGCACAGTGAATGGCTTATCATGCTCTCAGTTACCCCTGAAGATATTAGTTTGCTGACCAGAATTCCATTTCAACCCACACCACGGTCAAATATGCACAGAAAGGACATTTCTTCCTCAAATCAATGTTAATTAGCCCCGAATACACACAAAACCCTTAATGTAGATTAATGGAACTCACACCTGGTTTGGATGAAAAGACCCCCATCCCTGGCCATGTTTTCCACCAAGGGCACAATTGCTCCGACGGTTAAACTCAAGGGTTACTGACTGTGCAAAACAAGACACCCCTAAGTCTAGCTTATGGACCCAGCTCCCTCTCTCACCTTTGAATAGCAGCACATGCTTGAACTCAAAAGGAATGCCGTTTTTCTTGGCAAAGATGTAGACAGATCGACAAGGCTGGGAGACCAGGTCCAAGTAAAGCTCCAGGCCCATGGCAACAGGTACAGGAGAAAAAAAGCAGGCAAGGATGAGAACAGTGTTCTAAAGTCCAGGCACTGGTCTCCACAGCACCTCTTGTAACTTGGCCAGCTGCTTCGGACCAATCATGAACCTGGGACTCTATTCTCTTTCTCCACCCACCAACAATCATGTGAAGCTTGTTTTCCCAGGGATGGTAGTGGTGAAATTTCAGAGAAGCCTGGATTTCTGCCAAATAAGGAAGGGTGGTGGCTCTTTAAGCAAAAGGGCAAAGCAACTCCAAGGCTGCAGGGAAGACTGTAGGGCTGTCTGTAAATCCTGTTACAGTAATCCCTCGTGTTTCAGTTCCCTCCAGCAGCCCCACAATTAAATTTGCACCAGAAAACTGAGATTATGTTGCAGTGGGTTTCTCTGTTGCCTTCCTCAAACTTAACAGAATCCAGAGAACCTGGAGTTGCACCAATGATACATTTTTACATTCCTCCATCCCCTGCAGTACTAAGAGGAGGCTTTTCAGATTTTTAAATTTGGCAACTGAAATATCATTACAATGTTATGACATCAGATTCTCTGAATTCACAGCTTTCATTTTTTAAAGTCTCTACCCCTTTTCATTATGGAGACAGGCATTTCCCCTTATGTCTCCACAATGAAAAGAGCTATGGACTTATTTAGGAAGTTTTTATTTTGCCTGTCCAGAGTTCTGCTCAAGGTGGTTTACACGTTAACCCACCATAATATCATAATAAACTATCAATATACAAAAATAAAACAAACCTATAAAAATTAGGCAGGGAGAGTGAAGGAAAAAAGATCCTTCTTATTATTAAAAGTGAGAATCATCCAAGTTGATTGGCAACAGATGGACAAAAAGAAGTGATTTTTCATATAATGTGAAATTTAAACCTGTGATTTAGTCTCACTAAATGGAGCATGGCCACATGTATACTAACCACTTCTGGAAATAGTGTGTTTGGGCAGTTTTGCAACATTCCTATGCTCCCAAGTTTGTTTTAAGTACACCCATTAACCATCTCATTCACAAACACAAATTCTCCAAGGGAAAAATCTTGCTCACACCAAGAAACATAAGGCAATATTTATTTAAATAACATTTCCCGCATTGAAAGTGCACTTCATGTGGAGCACCAGTAGTCACTGCTGGAAGCACAACCGGACATAAGATATCGTGGTAAGAAGACAAGGCAATGCAGGAGCTCCCACTCGGTCAGGAAGGCTGAACAGGAGTCAGTCCACTCTCAGGAACAGGCTGGAGACTCTGCTGTTTCAATCAGGCTGGGTTAAAGCCCCACTGGGAAAGAGCCTCTTGTCTAAAAACGTCCTGCTGGTCTTCTAAGACTGAGAACAGCAACTTAAGAATTAAGGGAGACTGGCAGCTCATTCTGCTCAAGTTTTAGATGAACAGGATGTTCCTCTTTCACTTCTCCATTCTCCAGGGAGCTGGTAATGGTATCTGCTTTCAAATGCTACCACTCCTGAGGCCAGGGCCCCGCCTGTGATCACAAAATCCTCCAGTCCCTGCTTGTTTTTCACACCAGCGAAGCACACAGCACCCGTTCCCTTGGCTGCTCAGAATCGCTTCATGGCTTGCTCCTCCTGTGGAGACAAAGAAGCAGTCAAGCCTGACTAATGTTCTCAGAGGGCTTGAGTAAGCAACTTTTTGGAACAGTTTCATGAAGGGAATCAAAGTTAGCCAGTGGCACTTCATATTTTATATTAACTTATTTTATCAATATTTTATTCCCCACCCAACCCCCAACTTTACTGCCACTACAGCAAATTAGAGAGTTAAATGACTGCTCAAGGATGTACAGCAAGCTTCATGGCCACCCACCAGTCTTAGTACAACATGGCAGTGCACCACACCATCCTGATTCTCCTGCCAATCTCCAGCCTCGATCCCCGCTACCTTGGAACACAGAGCAAGGCCCAGACTTCTCAGCCTGCTGGTGGAAGCTTTCCACCTGCAGCAATTCCACATATTCAGAAATCCACCATCACTTTTCTTCCAGTTCTGACTGCTACACTGTCCCTCAGCCCCGTCTTCTGCCTGTGAGCGCAGACACACCACACTCACTCAGTGCAGGCCTGGTGCTCTCTAAAATTGCCAAGGCTACCCCATACAGTGGCCTTGAGGCCTGGCCTTTAGCTCTCAGCTATGCCTGGCTGTTTCTTCCACTTCTGTTGCTTCTGCCGGTGACTCCCAAGTGACAGGCTCCTCCCTTTGTCCACAGCTGAGGTCCCCTCCCAGAAGCCAGCGGTACCTTGACAACACTCTGAAGTTCAGCCAGGGCTTCCTCATACTGCTGGAGGAGAGGCTTGAGGGTCTCGCTCTTCACTGGCTGCTGTTCCAACTCAGGAAGGCCGGCTTCTTTTAGCATCTTGAGGAATTTGTGTTCCTGGACAAGGAGAGAGGGCTTCTTTTAGCATCTTTTTTTTCCTTCTTTTTTTTAAATTCTTTTAGCATCTTGAGGAATTTGTGTTCCTGGACAAGGAGACCCCCTTCCCGAGACACTAAAGGGGTCTTAGAAAATGCCCTGCAACTGAGTGAGGCATACAGGAATCACATCTTCTGTCCTGTACCCACCATAAACCCTGCAGGTTCCCTTTTCAGGGATGTTGCTACCCCAAGTCTTGCGAGGACATCTGAAACTCTTCTTGGAAGCAGAGCAAGCAAGAAACTTGCCTCTGCAGCCAACACAGTTGATACCAGGTGCAAAGTTTGGGGAGAAACCAGCAGACAACATACCTGCACTTTCAGCAGCATGGTGAAGGCCAGGCCGGCTCTTCCAGCACGAGCTGTTCTGCCCACCCTGAAAGAAGACAGCAGAAGAATGACCCACTTCACCAGCAGTTCTGGTCAGCCTACACTGCAGTAAGTGATGCATCGCTGATTTCAAGCTCTCAGGAGCAAACAAATCCAAACCTTTTGGGGGAAAAACCTTTTTCTTGGGAGACATTACCGGTGAATGTAGCTCCTGATAAACTGAGGGGCATCGTAGCTGATTACACATTTCACTCCTTCGATGTCAATTCCTCGAGCGGTGGCATCCGTGCTGATTAAGCTGTTTGAAAAGAAAGATACTAAGTGCTTGCCTTGCCACAGCCCAAACAGTAACACAGTAGATCTGGGTATCTGGGTATGATTGCCAATCTACAGATCTCACACGAACACATGTAGCTGCCTTACACTGAATCAGACAATCGGTCCCCCAAGGTCAGCACCGTCTACTCAGACTGGCAACGGCTCTCCAGGGTCTCAGGCGGAGATTTTTCACATCACCTACTGCCTGGTCCTTTTAACTGGCGATGCCAGGGGACTGAACCTGGAACCTTCTGCATGCCAAGGTGAATTATTTGAACAATTAATTCACTGCTGTGTGCAGATTGTGCTATTATTATCCCTGGCCTGGATAGCCCAGGCTAGCCTGGTCCTCTCAGATCTAGAAAGCTAAGCAGGGTCAGCCCTGGTCAGAATTTGAAAGGGAGACCTCCAAGGAATACCGGGGTCATGACGCGAGAGTCAGGCAATGGCAAACCCCCTGTGAATGTCTTGTGCCTTGAAAACCCTACTGGGTCACCATAAGTCAGCTATAACTTGACAGCACTTTCTACCGCCACCATGTTATTATTAATATTGTGATTTCGAAAGATCTTTTTTGTTTGTTGTTGTCAGGTCACAACTGACTTATGGCAACTCCAGAGACATTCACAGTTGGTTTGCCATTGTATGCCTCTGCGCAGCGACCCTGGACTTCTTTGGTGGTCTCCCATCCAAGTACTGACCAGAGCCGACTCAGCTTCTGAGATCTGGGGAGATTGGACTAGCCAGGGCTATCCAGGTCAGGACATCTCTAACCATGTCAGACCATCACCATACAGAGCGGAGGTTCAGCCCTCCCAGACACCTGCATAGATTAGCAGCAATGACTTTTCATATTTAGAAACAGAGGCAAGGCTGATGCAAGGTTTACAAAAGACCAGGAACTTCCTAATGCAAACTTGGAGGGTGCAACACAACCTCCCTCCCTCAAGTCTGTTGATAACTGAAGAACCAGTGTGATGTAGGGATTGGTGCATCTAAGCTTGTTTGCAGTGCTCAACTCCTTGGAGAAAGAGACAGATAAAAACAAACCCACCCACACTCTGCAATTAATGGACAGTTTTGCAGTTTTGTGGCATGGAACAGCTCCACTCTCAAGCTTTCAGTGGACACTCACAGCTGGATCTTCCCTTGTTCAAACTCCTTCAGGGTCCGTTTTCTCTCTGCTGGACTCAGCCGGGAAGAAAACTCTGCCACATTCACACCACCAAAGGCTCGAACTAGCAGGAACAACCTGGGGAAAGGGTGAGAGAAAGAGAGAGATACTCTCTGGCTGGCTTAGCCAAGATGCAAGCCAGCCTAGCAAAGTGTCAAGCTCAGTACTCACCTGTGGGAAGTTTCTTTGCTGTTTGTGAAACACAGCACTCGGCTGAACTTCATTCTCAGCAGAAAATGCAGAAGGAGCAGCGGCTTGGATTGCAGGCTGCAGGGCACATAATATTGCTACAGGAAACAAGAACAAACAGCCACTGGAAACAAGAACAAACAGCCACTGCCCACAGAGCTCTGGTTTCCCTTGGCAGGATCGGGGCATCATGCTCATGCTCCTCAACTGGATGGCATTCATGGTCACCATTAAAAGAATCTAATTTTCAAATGCCAATTTAAAAAACCACTCAGTGCATTTTTGCCACCAGCGATATGAACTTCTGTTCCACTTCAAGGTTTCAGGTTTTAATATCTTAAGTACAAGTTACTGATGTAGGAGTCATGGCTCTTATTTCTGAAAATGTTTCTATTCATTTCAAAAAGCTGGTGGTGTGTTTGGTCCACAAGATCTCCACCCAGAAATCACAGAGGCTCAATCCCAAAACCAGCATCCCAGGAAATAACCACAGAACACTGAACACATACAGATAGTGTAATCAGTTGGCCTGGGAAGCCACCAAACATTTGCTGACTCTCTTGCCTTGTTTTCTGAACTGTTGCGTTAATAGCTTCCCAAGCCAAGCCCCTCTGCTGTTAACAAGGACTTTTGCCCTTGCCTGGCCCATGCCCTGAAGTTCCAGGGACCTGGCTGAAGTATGGACCTCTATTTATATCTTCGGGACCCTGGTCATCGCCTTCCTGTAAAAGACCCATGTCACACATACACACACGTCCAGCTAGCAGACTTGGGCTTTCCCCAAATGTGCTGCCACTTCTTCGGTCAGAGGAGGTACCAGACTTTGCGCCAATCACGTGTATCACCATGGTGATAAAAGCCACATTTCTTACCGAGAGCCCCTCGGGGAGGGTGTAATTCTTCTCAGTCTCCTGCTGCACTGCAGTGCCACCAGGCTGCGTCTTGGAGTAGACAGAAGTAAAGAGGCAAGGCTTATAGAGGCCCAGTTGCTGCAGCTTCTCTGGATCCTTGCTCAGCGTGGCTGAAAAGAGGAGCTTTTGCAGAGGGAACTGAGGGAAGAAGGCTCTGGAAAGACAGAAGGCATTCCCTTCCTGCAAAGGAGCTCTGTAGCATCTCCTGCCTTTGGCCCTCTTTGCTCAGCCCTTTCCCAGGCCTGTTCCATTCTCGGGGCATGCAGCTACATGCCAGGGGTTTGAAATCCACGGGACAGTCTTCAGGTCCCAGCCTGTCCATGGGGGCATCCTAGAACCAGCTCAGGCTTTGAACCTTTAGCAGAAACTGACGACCATGGAAGTTTTAAAGTTTAAGTTCCAAAAGAGGCCGACTGAACCTCCAAGAGTGAGGAGATATGATCTCCACTGCTCTGCCTCCTGTGCTTTTGCCATGGCACCCTAATTTTTTGACCCTCTGCCTCCTCTGGCTGTCAGTTAACCACCTTTCCATGCCTCTGTCCGAGTCCCTGCTGGCTCACTCACCTGGCCGCTGTGATAGGGTCCTGCGGTGCCCTCCTGAACAGGTGACAAGGTCCGGTGCCTTCATCAGGTCCATACACAGCCTTCACAACCTGGGCTAGCCAGTCCTGGTGCATGTTGTCAATCATGCGGTCTGCTTCATCAATGATCTACCCTCATGTACAATTGAGCAAAAGAAAAAACTCTTATTGACACACTGAATGGATATGCAGCCATGCTATAACCATGCAGGGGCTTATAAAAGCACACACTACAGGAGAGAGTTAAGAAAGCCCATAATGTTCCCAGTTGAATCATGGGGACCTAAGTGTTCAACACAGAGCCAGTGTGGTGTTGTGGTTAACAGCAGCGGACTCTAATCTGGAGAACCAGGTTTGACTCCCCACTCCTCCACATGCAGCCAGCTGGGTGACCCTGCGTAAGTCACAGTTCTCTCAGAGCTCTCTCAGCCCCACCTATCTCACAGGTGTCTGTTGTGGGGGAGAGGAAGGGAAGGAGATTGCAAGCCGCTCTAAGACTCCAAGTGAGGGGCAGGGTATAAATCCAACTCTTCGTCAGTTGTGGCCTCTGTGCACCTCACTCACACAATCCCCACACAGCCTCCCAAACCAGCCCCAAAGTAGTGCAAACATGACTTTTGTTTGCAGGCAGACAGATTGAGACCTCTGGAGGATGGCACCACCTCTGCTGCAGTGCAAATGTCGGAGGATGTTTGAAGAAGAGAACCGTTCTTCTGATTGCACCTTTTACAGGCAAAGAACTCTGGAATGACTTCTTGAAGTGTGAAACCCAAAACAGTCCCCATCATCCTAACTTCATACAGCAAAGATATATGGAAAGAGGGTCTTGGGGTGTGCCTCACAGCTGTCGGGCTCCCTGGCCCTGAGCACCCCCCCCGCTGCTTTTAAACTGCTTTTCAATATTCTTTTCATTCCACTGCTTTTATAATTATGGACTGTTCTGTGGCTTTTGTTTTGCATTTCAAGTACATGAACAAAAACTAAAAAAGTATTTTTATTTTGTTGCCTTTCAGCAGCTACAGGAATGGGATCCCTTGAAAATTATTTAAAGCTAAGTTCAAGTTAACCTTTATTGGCATAAAATTATTTAAAACCAATAGTGCAAGGTTATTTCCTGATGCTTGGCAGGTAAGGAGGGCTTGAAAGCTGCATGAAGGAATGGTGTGGGCCCAACCATGTCCACAGTGTAACTGCCAGAAAGAAATACAGTGACCCATAACAGCCAGGTGCTTGCTACAAATGGCAAACATGTCCAGTGGGTTCAGACAGGGACATTTGCCACTCACCAGAAAACGAAGTTCTCTCAGGCTGAACTGAGGACTGTGCTGAAGATGGTCCACCAAGTGCCCGGGGGTGGCTACAACAATGTCTGCCAGACTGCGGAATCCCGTGAACCTGAGAAATGCCAGTATATGAGAGTTTTCTATGGGATGTAACTGTCACCACTGTGTGTGTATGCACACACAGGCAGGTATTGGACAGTCAATGACAGGAAATGCTACGGAGCCCTCTCTTAACTCTGAAGGCTTTGACACCCATCTAGCCAGGACTCCTCAGGACCAACCACAGCCATTGTGGAATTCCAGGCCAAGAGTCTGTTCATTTTGGATTGGGATCATTAATTCACTATATCCCACAAGTCACTGCAAGAACAGTTCCCACACACCCATGGGAGCTAATGCTTGGGTTTCCTTTCTGAGTTTTTTGAAACACAATGTCCAGAATACCATTCTGAGCCAAATACTGGATTCCATAATCAGGGAAGGCAACCACCACACCAGGAACCCCGGCTGGAGTGACTGAGAGGAGCACAGTCAGGTGAGCTCTCCTCTGAGCCTGTTGCTCAGGTGGTTTTAAGACCACCATCCGTTCGACCAATGAGCCAACCCAACAAAGTTATACACAAATGACACCAAGGTGAGAATGAAACTTACGTTTCCTCAGCAAGAGACTCTTGCTCCTTCGCAAAAGACTTCTGCCCGGTCAGTTGGACGACTTTCAATCCCATTCCATCCGTGTAAATGTTGAATACTTTACTCACCTAGGGAAAGGATTGAATAAGAAGGAGGAGGGGGAAAGGCGAGAACAGGCCTGTAGAACAGTCACCCCTGGCTCAGTCACCCCCCTGGCTTGACGAAGAAGAGATTGGATTTATACACACACCCCTTCACTCAGAGTCTCAGAGTGGCTTAGAATCTCCTTCCCTTCCTCTCCCCACAACAGACACCCTGTGAGGTAGGTGGGGGTGAGAGAGCTCTTTCAAGGACTGCTCTTGAGAGAACAGCTCTGAGAGAACTGTGACTGACCCAAGGTCACCCAGCTGGCTTTATGTGGAGGAGTGGGGAATCAAACCCGGTTCTCCAGATTAGAGTACACCACTCTTAACCACTACACCACTAGAGCAAGACTGAGCAATCCCTGTCCTCAGCGGCCGCTTTAACTGCACTTTTGGATCATTGAGGCAGCAGCAACAGGAAAAAAACAATGTGAGTGCATAGTCACAGGGGTTAAAACCCAGTCAGATAAGCAATATCCGTGCATGAGACAGGTACTGGAGTGGCTCATTATTCCCAAAGGCAATATGCACAAGTAGTACAGCTTTGGGAGATAGTTTCAGAGGGTAGCCATACTGGTCTACAGTAGAACAGCTAGCTTCAAGTCCAGCGGTACCTTAGAGATCAACAAGATTTTTGGGGCACGAGCTCTCGAGAGTTAACGCTCTTGCCATTCCAAGGCGAAGGCAACTTTGATTATTCTTTGAAGGGTCTTTAAAGAGACTGTGGTGGGGAGGGTTGCTGTTTGCATCCTCCCAACCAGGCAGTGGCATGGAAGGACTGGAAGAAGGGAGTGATTTAACCGGGGCGAGGGGAGCTTGACAATCCACCTGCAAGCCCAGACTGACGAAACAGCAAAGCAGAGAAAGACTGTGGGCCAGATTTGGCCTGGACTAACACTGTCAGGAGAGGCTGGTTGGCTGTAGCTGCCACTATGGGTGGGGATGGCATTCCCTCAGGGATGCAGAGGGTCCAGCGTGCCAGGAAGTGGGGAGGATCCAGATGTTGAGAATGGCCCTAAAGACAGTGGTCTGTGGGTGGACAGAGTAGGGGGCAGGCATGGAGGGCAGAATGACATGTTTCCTGGGAACTGCACCCAGAAAACATGGTACCTGTAGCTAGATGGGACCACCCCACTTCTCACATGGGAGAGCCCCTTCCAAAGGAGACCTTGGTTGTCAGTCAGGTCAGCCATACATTTGAGTGGGAGACTAAGGGTCCCCAACTTCCAAATCACACACAATGACCTGCAGCACTTTCACCAAGAGGTGTGTTGGAAAACCCCATTTTATTGGATAGGATGGATTCAGGGCAGGGGACAGAAGGATTCAGGAGCTTACCTGCTGTGCTAGCTCTTTGGTGGGCAAGACTGCCAAGGCTCGCACCTGGCAAACCACTCGTTCTAACAGGGCCTGCCAAGACAGAGTCAAAATATTAGGAACAGCTGGCAGGTTCTTGTTCTCAGTCTGCTCAAATACATACATAAAAGCAAGCAACAAACACCCCCCCTTCAAAATGGTCTTAGTTTGTTGCCTTAAGTGTTTTTCATACTGCACTCCCCAAGTTCAACAGCCCACTCTTCAGGGGATCTGAATTCATTTATATATTTATTTGATTTCTAGCCCTCCAACCCGTGCACAGCAAGGCTCAGGGTGGGTTATAACAATGTAGATACAAAAATACAGCAACAACTATTAATCTAAATTGAAAATAATCTCTAAAACACTATACACATCAATCAGCTATTAAACAATAAAATGGCAGTCAGTAATACAAATTAATGCATCCACTCCCACAGGCTCTACACGTATGCAACAGTAGATGTTAACTAATACTGAGGCAAGTGAGTGGACGAAATGATAAAACAAGATGGAACATAACAAAGCATGACAGAGCAGGGGGAGGCCAATCCAGACGAACTTCCGCCGCCTCAACCATAGGCCTGGCAGAACATCTGTTTTACAGACCCTGTGGAACTGTGTTAAACCCCGCAGGGGCTGGATCTCACTTGGGAGGGCGTTCCACTAGGCCGGTGCCATTCCAAATGTGAAGAACACACTTTCTACAACCACACTGAGACTGCTTGGCAGAACCAGATACACGAGACGATGGAGAGAAGGCCTAATGCTGGTTGAACTTGTGACATACTTGCACACTATGACCAAAGCCACAGAACTTGAACCGAGCTGGCTTTACAAAAGCCACAGAACTTGAACCTGCCAGTAAAAGTAATTCTTTGGAAAACACATAACAGGTGCAAGGACACACACAGGCCTACAGCCCAGCAGCTGCCTGCTCTAGCCAAAGCTCACCTGTACTACAGGGATGACAAAGGCTAGTGTTTTACCACTGCCTGTAGGGGCTGAGACACAAATATCACTCGGCTGGTAACCATTTCTCGTGAACAAAAACCCACCAGATGCACTCTCCAAAATGGCTGGAATCACCTGTGCCTGAACTGAAAAGACAGAGACAGAGTCATAAACTAGGACAGGGTTACTTTTCTGGCAGAAGGTCTTGTAGGTCATCCACTGACTACCCCAACCAAGCGCCTCAGACAGACCTCTCACCCCAACACACAAATGGGTTCAACTGCCCTAATTCCCCTTCATAGCCAACCGCAGAACAGACATGTTCCAGAGGAAGATATACTCAGATCCAGTGCTACAGTCAAGTATTTAATTACATTTCTAGCCCAGCCCCAAAATGTTCAACAAATTAAATGAAACAGCCCTCGTTCAATTAAAATCTTGGAAGAGACATTAACACCTTTTCCTATGACCTGATGACCAAATGCCAGCCCACACAGAAAAGGCCCCATTTACTTCTGAAAGAGGCCCATTGCCCAGCAACCAAAAAGTATCAACCCCTTTTCCCCCAGCTCATACTGGAGAGAGTCTGCTCTAGGAGCTTCCGGGTTATGGCGGAGCAAGGCAGTTGAGACTCAGGCGAGCTCCTGAGAATCACCGACACTCTGTGCCTTTAGGGGGGTGCTCTGGTTTTCCAAAACCCCACCAACTCTCCTATAGAGAGTCGGCTGCTGGAGACTTGTCCTGATCGCCCCGCGAGTGGCAGCAAGTGGCTGGATGACTGGGGCTGTGCCAAAGCACGGCGTGGTGTGGAGCAGCCACAGAGCCATGACTGCAACAAGCTGTGTCACCTATCTCCCAGACTTTGGCCATCTACTAAATGCAGCTTGGAAACACCACGGACAGAGTATGAAATAAAATAAGCTGTTCTTGTTACAAGAGATCATCCACCTGGTTAAGGTACCTGGAAACAAATATTCTATTCCATTTGCTTGCAGTTTCTTCCTCAATTTGGGGTGGATTTCTGGAATGTCCTGGAGTGGGACACGGTTCTCTTTGATCCTTTTCTGGACTAGCTTGGGCTGAGCAAGCCACTGTGGCAAATAAGGCTGCACCTGCAAGTCACATGGGCAGAACACTGAAACTGTGGCCCCGACCCAAGGAAGCACATGTGTAGCTGTGCCCATTTGTCAGCTACTGTGGGCAACAGACCACAAAGCATGCTCGGTAGTTGTCTCGAAGACAAAATGCCCCTCCAAACCTCCCAGTAGAAAATTTGCTTTTCAATATGCGTTTTAAGGATCCTCCCCTCCTGCCCAAAATTTGGTGCTGACTCAGGAAATAAAGTAGAAATGTGAGTCATTGGCTTAGAAGACAGTTAAGTCAAGGCTTTAACAAACAGTCATCCCAGCACCCTGATCTTCACTTCAGTCAGTTTGCTTCCATACATATCTTAAACATTATGGTATAAAGAACACTTGCAATCAGCTCCAGCCAGTGAGTTACCTTCTGCACAGCCTTTTGATCTGAAGTGCCGAGGACAATCACGGGAGAAGGGAGGGGTGTTCCCTTTCGATTCAGTGTCTTCTGCTCCTCTCTTCTTTGGGCATCTTTCTCTGTAGGTGTACAGCTATCCTCTCTCTCTCCTGCTGCTGCACAGCTGTTGTCCAGATGACTCTCCAAGCTATCATCACTTCCTGGTTGGCCAACATTTTGGTAAAAAATACATAAATATGGCAAATTGTTTGAATTTGGAACAGCACAAAGAGAAAAAGGTTTCTGCAGCAATCTCAGGGGCCTCATGCCATACAGGCAACATTGGGGTGGCGGTGGCTGAACCTAAGATGTGCCTCCATATGCCTACAGGAGGGTCTCCAGAGAGAAAGACAGAAAAGAGACCCCATTTTGACTGCCTACTTTACAATGAGGGAAGGAAACTAGGGCTAATTCATCTCAATAGCTGCTCACACAAGAGGACTTATGAAAGACACAACAGCAGCTGCTTGAAGCAGACTGCCCCTGCTTGGGGTGGTTTCTGCTGCTGTTTGCAGAAGGAATTCCTAAACTACTATGTGTGCAGCATGACACTGCTCACATAGTAGTTTAGAAATTCCTTCTGCAAACAGCAGCAGAAACCACCCCAAGCAGGGGTAGTCTGCTTCAAGCACCTTGTGTGTTGCTTGCACAAGGAGATTGCTCCTGCAAGATGCTCTTTATGCGAGTCAAGACCAATATATAAAATATCATGAGTCAGACTATGCTCCTCATAAAAGTGATCTCCTCCAGCTGCAAAGATGACAGTGCATTGTACAATGACAATGACGATGGAATTTTAACAAGGCCTCAAACACTGGTCCCTGAAATCAAGTTTAGCCTGTCCCTACATACCTGCTTCAGTTTTTCTTGGTGGATTTTTGGACTTCCCTCTGCTCTTTGGAGTTCTGCTTCTATTCGAACCATCTTCCTCATCAGGACTTTCCTTCTCAACAGCTTGTGGCTGCCTGTTTGGCTTTCTTTGGTCTTTTGTGCAAGGAGATTCATCACTTGGTCTCCTCTTTCTTTTCTTGGTCTCCGGCCTTGATTCCTTCTCAGAGTTCACTCCAGAGATTTCATTCTCTGCCCTTCTTAGCTCTGCAGAAATTGGCTGATCCTGTTTCTGTTTTTGCAGCTGGCGGATTCTTGCCCTTTCCTGCAGCCGTTGCAAAAGCACCTGAGATTGGTCTTCTGGCTCACCCTCTTCATCACCAGTGTACCTGTGGATTACACAAAGATTACAGCTGTTCTACAGCATGGCACTGCAACAAGTAAGTCATCTGTGAATCAAAAAAGTCCCATCATAATGTAGAAAGATGCCTTCCAGCTTCTGCAAGTAAGAACTTCAGTTTCTGGATGCAGTGAAGTTCAAATGCAGCAAGAGGCCTCTAACTCTAACCCAGATATGATTCTGCCAGCACAAAATACAACATAATAATGTTGTGGCTTCTAGTGCCTTATGAACCTCCAGTAGGAACTACATACTACTCTGCTTGCCCTGTCTCCCCCCCACAACCAAGATGATATTGTAGAGTTGGAAGAAGTGAGAAAAACTGCTAGAGTACTTTCCCTATGAGAAGAAGCTAAGCTTTTTGATATAGAAAAAATGGGGGGACATGGGAGAAGTTCATAAAGTTATCTGTATATGCAGAGTGTGGGTACAGAGATTTTGCAGTGTCATGTAATACCAGAATTCAGGGTCATCCATCGGCTACATGATTAGGAATTGTGAAAGAAAGCACATCTTCACACATCCTTAATGTACATAATTTGCTGCCGCAAGATAAAGTGCAAGCTCCTATCATAAGAGGTCTTCAAAGGGGAATGAGGAAAAAAACCCCAGGGAGGTAAGGTCTATAGCTATTAGCTACATCCCAAAGAAGGGCAATGCCAAGGAATGTTCAAACTATCACACAATTGCACTCATATCACACGCTAACAAGGTCATGCTCAAGATCCTACAAGCTAGGCTTCAACAGTACGTGGATAGAGAACTGCCAGAAGTACAAGCTGGGTTTCGAAGAGGTAGAGGAACTAGAGATCAAATTGCCAACATTCGCTGGATTATGGAGAAAGCAAGAGAGTACCAGAAAAACATCTACTTCTGCTTCATTGACTATGCTAAAGCCTTTGACTGTGTGGATCACAACAAACTATGGCAGGTCCTTAAAGAGATGGGAGTACCAGACCACCTCACATGTCTCTTGAGAAACCTGTATAAGGGCCAAGAAGCGACAGTTAGAACCGGATATGGAACAACTGATTGGTTTAGCATAGGAAAAGGAGTACGACAAGGATGTATACTGTCACCTTGCTTATTTAATATATATGCAGAGTACATCATGCGAAATGCTGGCCTGGATGAATCACAAGCGGGAATTAAGATTGCTGGGGAAAAGATCAACAACCTCAGATATGCAGATGATACCACTCTAATGGCTGAAAGTGAAGAGGATCTAAAGAGCCTCTTGCTCAGAGTAAAAGAGGAGAGCGCAAAAGTGGGCTTGAAGCTCAACATCAAAAAAACTAAGATCATGGCATCCGGCCCCATCACTCCTTGGCAAATAGAAGGGGAAGTCGTGGAAGTAGTGACAGACTTCACGTTCCTGGGATCCCAGATCACCGCAGACTGTGACAGCAGCCATGAAATTAAAAGATTTCCTTGGGAGGAAAGTGATGGCGAACCTAAACAGCATGATAAAAAGTAGAGACATCACCCTGCCAACAAAAGTCCGCATGGTCAAAGCAATGGTATTCCCAGTAGTCATGTATGGCTGTGAGAGTTGGACTATAAGGAAGGCCGAGCGCCGAAGAATAGATTCTTTTGAACTATGGTGCTGGAGGAGACTCTTGAGAGTCCCTTGGACTGCAAGGAGATCAAATCAGTCAATCCTCAAAGAAATCAACCCTGACTGTTCCCTGGAAGGCCAGATAATGAAACTGAAGCTCAAATACTTTGGCCACCAAATGAGAAGGGAGCACTCACTGGAGAAGACCCTGATGCTGGGAAAGATTGAAGGTCAAAGAAGACGGGGACGGCAAAGGATGAGATGGTTGGACAGGAGGGCCTGGCGGGAGCTGGTCCATGGGGTCGCGAAGAGTCGGACTCGACTGTGCGACTGAACAACAACAACCACCTTTTTTTTGCTGACACGGTCAGAACGTTCAGAGTGAATGCTGACCTGAAACGTACCAGATTACACCTGCCTCCCAAACGGGTTGCCGCGTACCGCCCCCCAACCGGGAATCCCCACGCACTTGAAGCGGCGGTGAAATTCTTACCTCTGTACTAGGAACAGCGCCATCGCACGCCGTAACAGTTTCCTCTCTGCTCGGTGCTTCCTGATGACGAAACAACGGCGCGCCAGCTCGAGCTTACTTTCAAAGCGCGTGGCAGCCGGAGCGCCAACCGTAAAGGCTCAACGGTATGAGCGCGCGCACACTCACTACAGCGTGGGCAAAAACTCAACATTTAAGTGGGAAATGCAATGTCCCAACCAACCCCGAGTCTCCATGCGAAGCTTCACAGAAGACCCATGTTTCTGTCATCAAGATGCAGCTTCAGGAAAACCGCATGCCACGAGGTGCAGAGACCGGCCGCAAGGATTTCCTGTTGCTCGCCGCATCCCCTGAAATCGATTCTCGCCAGCATCCCCCCCCCATCGTAAATTAGTCCACGTGGCCCCTTCATTCTTTTGGTTCACGTGCGCTTGCAGGAACAACCCCTGCTGTCATGCTCGGTCGGGGGGGGGGTTTCCCCATTTTTCGCTTTGTGAGGGATTTGGGGGCACCAGTAGCCCTTGCAAAGTTGGGAGCCAGTCCACGGGGACGCGAGGGACCAGGGCCAAGGCATGCATAGTTCATGGCTGTCCCAGCTCGAGTGCCTCAAGGCTGCTCAGCTCGCGAAGGAAGCCCAGGACGACTCTCAGCGCCGGTCCATCCAGCCCCAGGCTGGCAAGCTGGGACGGTTCCAATCTTCCCTGCCAGTGCTGCAGTCTGCAATCCTTGAGAAGTATCCGGGGGCTCATTTAGCGGGATGTTGGCCCCTTCACACATATCGCAGGGGGAGGCGTGGCAAATTGCCCCGGCGCAGTTTGATCCCCGATTATACATCAGACACGCTGGCGGCACACCACGGGTCCTTCCCTCGGAGCCGGCGCGTAAACGAGGGGCCGGAGGGGAAAGCCGCGCACCAGCACGACCACACCGCAGGCATCCAGAGGTATCCCGTGGCAAACCGTTTGCCAGTACTTTGGAGGTACTACTTTTTTATCACGCATTTTCGGTGGTAAGCCACAGGCTGGCCACGGGTGCGCTCCACTTCCCAGATGTTGGGGTGTGATCGCGCACAGATAATCCGCCCACCACCCATGGCTCTCCCGCAGCAAATTCGGCATGTGAACGGGGCCATTCTTTGTCTAGCCTGAACTGGACTACACAGCAGTGTTCTTGTAAGATACACACACTCTCAGCTTACTTGTAATGGGGAATAGTTTAATGTCCAGCCCCAATCCACCCTCTCCTATCTCCACACACAGCAGCTGTAAGATAATATTTTCTCTTCCTTGGAGGGGAGTCTATGCCCAATTGCACCCCACACAATGAGCCCATGTTTTGAAACTGTATCAACCTCTCTTTGCTTTTCTGGGGTGGGGGGGGGGAAGAGAGGTTATTGCCAAATCACAGCTATAGTCTCCTCTCTAGTGAGCATGTCACCTGCCCAATGGTGCCAAAAGTTTCTGCCTTTCATGATCCAGCCTCTCCCCTCCATCCTGCTTTGCTCTCTCAGGAGAACTGAACTGGCAGGTTGTTTTGGCTTTTAATCCTGTGCAACAACATAGGAATACCTAGCATCTGCCCAGAGGGGAAAAGAAAGTCCTCTCTCTTCACTACCGGCTTAAGGGGATATCATCTGTCTTCATGCAATTAAAAGCTTCAGCTACCCATTTCCTCACTTTAAGCCTCTACTGAAAGGACAAGACTCTGGTTGCAGCAGGGTCCCATACCAGCTTCTTAAGCCGTTTGCCACTGCAACTGGCACCAGAGGCACCCTTGGCTGGCTGTATGCACAAGGGGGCTTTATATTGCCTTCCACCTCTGTCTGCCCGCTTAAATACTCATTTTAATGAGCCCAGGGCACCCAGTTTCCTACAGTGGGCTGATTAACAGGATGGATGTGTATGTGGGGGGAAAGAAACCTCCAACTTGGGTTAAGTTCTCATATATCACAGTTCTAAAGACTGCAGAGAATCACCAATATGAGCAGAACTTCAGATGTTCCCCAGTCTTCATGTCAGCCTATTTGCATACAGTGCAATTTGCTAAAGCTATTGTGCTATAAACTACCACAAGTATCTTGAGGCTAGGCAAAACTTTTGTTCATTTTGCCAGTCAGGCAAATGGTAAAATGTTTGTGAAATACTGAAATGTTTACGTTGGCTTGGAAAACAGATTGTTGTCAGAGTATTTCAATAGATATGCAGAACATAGCTTCTCAGTGATTAGTGGTTAAAGCAGCCAAGTATTCCCCCTCCCAGCATACTGAAGATCATCTAAATAGGTTTACAAGAGATATTTGGGAAACTCTTCTCTACTTTCGTAATCTCTAGCAATGCTGTTGACAAAGGATCAAAAGACAAAACTGAACCAAAACCTAGTTACAGCTATCATTTTGCCACCAGAAGCTGCTGCACCAGAAAGACAGGCATGAACGACTTAAAAAACTGAAAACAAAGGCTGCTCTAGCCCCAGCAGTCATGCATGGCTGCGAGAGTTGGACTATAAGGAAGGCCGAGCGCCGAAGAATAGATTCTTTTGAACTATGGCGCTGGAGAAGACTCTTGAGAGTCCCCCTGGACTGCAAGGAGATCAAATCAGTCAATCCTAAAAGAAATCAACCCTGACTGTTCCCTGGAAGGCCAGATAATGAAACTGAAGCTCAAATACTTTGGCCACCAAATGAGAAGGGAGCACTCACGAAGACAGGAAGGCCTGGCGTGATCTGGTCCATGGGGTTGCGAAGAGTCGGACTCAACTGTGTGACTGAACAACAACAAAAGCCCCAGCAAGTTCCCGAGTGGTAGTCTGACATGGGCCAATATACTCTGCATCAAACAAGCAAGTTGCATCTGTGCATAACTATGTTTTAGATGACAGTCACATAGGAAGCCTGTTTGTGTGCTGTACCTGGTTAAGGAGATCTGAGGCTGGCTCATTATACTGGGTTGTAGTTTATGACCCCGTTAATACCGTCATTGGGAGGGAATAAGGGGATATAGAACGACTCCTGTCTTCATGCTTGTTCCCAAGAAAGCCCATTTCAACCCCAGAGTCACAATGCAATCCAATGTGTGTTTACTCAGAAGGAAGCCCTACTAAACGTAACAGGGCTCACAGGCTAGTAAAGTATGCTTAGGACTGCAACCTTAATTGAAGTCTGCACTCCTCACTGCAGGGTCTGACCACTGCTTCCTAAAACACATGGCATCCAGCCACAACTAGACACTTCCAGTCTCTGTGCTGGAAATAATTATTATTTCATGCTTAGCCTTCAACTGCCCACTGTAGCTAACCTTGGAATTCTAGCCACCCAAATGTTGTAGAATAATATTCCCTCTTTAAGTAGGAGCTGCGGTGGCTCAAGTGGTTAAGACGCTGAACTGCAGGCTGTGGAAGGTCAGTAGTTCAGCGGTTCAAGACCCGGGTGCCGCAAGACAGGGTGAGCTCCTGTCTCTAGTTCCAGCTCCTGCCAACCTAGCAGTTCGAAAGCAAGAAATTGCAAGTAGATAAATAGGGACCACTTCGGTGGGAAGGTAACAGCGTTCCGTGCGCCTTGGTGTTTAGTCATGCCGGCCACATGACCACGGAAACGTCTTCGGACAGCGCTGGCTCTTCGGCTTTGTAACGGAGATGAGCACCGCAACCCTAGAGTCGGATTCGACTGGCTTTCGAGCAAGGGAACCTTTACCTTTTTTAAGTTCACCTCTTCCTTATGGACCAGGGAAAGGCTGCCCTAAAAAAATATTTCCGCAAAAGTCAACATCCTTCTAGGTTTTTATTGTTTTTCCTTTGGTATGAAGGAATGTTACAACAATGATGCACGCAAGGGACAAGCAAGGAGCTCGCATTAGGGAGGTGGGCTTGACTGCGGTGGCTGAGACGCATGAAGGACACAACAGGCCCATAGGGAGAGCCTTATGCAAAGGTGGATCCGTTCCAGCCCACGTTACTAGGATTCATATCGTAATAGTTGATGTAGACCCTGTGAAAAGAAACCAAGAGCAGATGAAAGCGATGGCCACTAGAGATCATTCCCATCCACATTAGCAAGCCTGGCCCTCACGCACAGAGTGACAACTTGACCAAAAATGGGTAAATACCTTTCATCCAGAATACTTCCTTATTACAGAACAAAGTTTTCCAATTTGCCACTATTCACAGGTCTTACCATATTTGTTATTTCAATCTTAGCTGTATTTATTGCTCAGTTTCTCATGCATCTTTAATTAGCCCTTCCTGGCAGCTACCCCTCTCTACCTATATGAAACGTTTGAGGAAATCTGTTACAATGTATCTGAAGGACTGCACATCTACACATGCTATCTCATCTCTCACTTATACCCAGAATTGAACTTCGTTGAACTTGCAGGTGCCACTGGACTCAAACTTTATTCTCACATCTGTCTGTTAAACTCTTATGTTTGTATGCTAATTTACTGCTATTCACAGATTTTATCAACCGCCTTACTTCAATCTCAACTCTAATCCCCCAGTTACTTATGCATCTTTAACTAGTCCTTCATGGCAACTAACCCCCACTCCTCTCTAAACCTATACTAGCCTGATACTCGTACTTCGCTATGGTATTTAAGTTCCATAAATCCAGTTATAATACCGATGATGTGAAGTTTGAAATGTGACATTTGTTGTAGGAATTCTAGTGGAGAAGATTGTAGTGTAAAAAATGAAGTGAGACATATGTACTTTCCCCCCCCTCTACCGAAGGACCTCTCTGTAGACCACATTGGTGGTTCTGCCCTCAGGTGCTAGGATCACCAGGCTGCTTGATGAGTTCACTCTGGAGCAGGCAACATAGAACTGTCCATTTAAGAAGCAGTTGTATGTTAAGTCAATTTCTGCCACCTTCCACAAAAGTGATGGACTCTCTACTTGTGTTCTTGGATTCTGAGCACCTCAGGGTGATCTTGCTGGTATTTGGCCTGCGCAGCTTAGTGCCCTGCAGGAGTACTATGTGCAAATGTTTTTGCTGCATTCCTAAGTTGCCTCCTCCTGGCAGCTGCCTGTCCAGTGTAAGAGGGGAAGGGGGGAGGAGTATTAGAAGCCACTGTGGAGGCAGGGCTGGCAGGATCACTAAGGCGGTTACTGCTGGGGCGGGCTCCCTCGTGGCTTTAAGCACCCTGCGACGGCTGCTGCACCTGACAGACAACCACCTGTTAGATGTAGGAGGTGGGGGGAGTGTGTTGGAAGCCATCAGAGAGGCTGGGCCAGCAGCATTGCTAAGGTGATCCTGCTGGGGCGGTGTCCCTGATGATTAAAGTACCCTGCTCCTACACCTGACAGACACCCACCCATCTGGTGTTGTGGGGGGATTGTATTTAAAGGCATCGGAGAGGCTGGGCCAGAAGCAGGGCTAAGGCAATCTTGCTGAGCAAACCTCCCCGTCGGCTGTAAGCATCCCACCTCCTCTCCTACACCTGACAGGCAGTTGCCTGTCTAGTGTAGAAGAGGGAGGGGGGAGGAGTATTAGAAGCCACTGTGAAGGAGGGGCCGGCAGGATCACTAAGGCGTTACTGCTGGGGTGGGCTCCCTCGTGGCTTTAAGCAACTGCTGCTTCACCTGACAAGACAACCACCTGTTAGGCGTAGGAGGTGGGGGAAGTGTGTTGGAAGCCATCAAAGAGGCTGGCCCAGCAGCATTACTGCACATCACAGGTGGTACTTGGCGATTCCTGATTTCCTCAACTATTATTAGCTGTCTGCAGACTCCTGTAACTGTTGGCCTTTTTTTACCTCAGAACACTGAACTCCACAGCTGACCAATCAGAGAGTGGGGGGTGCAAGGAGGCAGCCGCATAGAAATCAACGGGGGGAGCACATTTACCCCTTTTGACCCCCTTAGGGGCCGAATTTCTAAAATTCCCTTCTTAGTGAGCATCTAAGTCATGGTAGGAGCGCTGTCCCCGAATTTGGTCCAGCGATTTTACGGTGAAGGGACTTTCTTTTATATATATATAGATGTAAGGGTTGAGGATGTCTTGTTTCACTGTATCTGGAGATGTGTGATTGCACACAAAAGCTGATACCTTGAATAAAACTTTATTGATCTTAAAAGGTACCACCAGACCAACAGGGCTACCTACCTGAATCTAACTTCCTTATTACATTAATGTATGTATGATCCTGCTCCCACTATCATCTGCTACTCATCTAATACCATTTTCTGCACATTAATACTTTTTGCTTCAAATTTCTGTAATCCTACTCCAATAGCATTGGTTTGCACTGTGTAATGTGCCTTGAGTCTCAATAAGACAAGACTATAAATTAATAAATACAAGGGGCTGCACATCTCACCTGTCTGCAGGTATCTGCAAATATTTAGTAAACAGTTCACACAGTAACTTCGAGTAAGCCTTGTTTTGCGGCCCACCAATCTTGCCGATACTGTGTAGGCTACACAGGGCACATGGCTCGCCTGAGCCCCCAAAGGTCATTAGCTGGTCGGTCACGATGCGGATCGCAATATACTGAAAAGGAAGTGAACAAGGACAGATCGTCAGGCTGCTTCTGTTCCGAGGCTGGCTTAATTACACAGATTTTTAGATCAGCCTTAATAATTGCCATCTTGATATGCACTAAACTGTTCTTTTGCTCACGCCGCGCTAACTCCGCCTCCAAATTAGCAACATGAAAATGACGTTTTTTAAGTTCTCTACGAAAATATCCTGCACCTCCGTAGAGTGGATTTATGACTCCAATCTCTGTTCGGTTCACGATTCCGAGACATGAGATTCATGCAAGCAGCGCTAGGAGGCCAAAGTACCACTACCCGCCCTCCTCCTCCTCCTTTCCCGGGGCTGGCCTCCCTGCCAGGACTGCGCGGGAGAACCCAGCCAGACAGGCTCCCTTGTCGACGCTCGCTCACCTGGGCTGGCTTGCCGGTAGCTTTGGCCAGCTGCTGGGTCAACTCCCCGGGCAGGCTCTCAGGTACGGCCTGGCGGCTCACGTTGGTGTTAATCACGAGCATCGGCATCTTGGCGGCAGCACACAACAACGCCCCAGTGAGCGGAAAGTGGAGCGCCTCTCGGCTTTGTAGGCTGCTCGCGGGGGCGCGCTTAAAGGGCCAGCGGCAGCCCTGCCCCGTTCTATGCTCACGCGGCGCCTCTGCAAGCAGCCCCGCCAAGAAGGGTGTCCGTGCCTGGCTGCACATCACCAATGGCACCCCGCTCCCTTAAGGGCATCATCCCACGTCTGCAAACAACATCCGGAGTTTAGTGAGGGGGTGTCGGGGGAGGGGGATGTATGACCCTCCCCCATAGTCTGGTTTAGCCGCAATTTCGGAAATTGATCTCCAACACACGTGGCATTAATTTAGCAGGTGGGAAAAGATGCAGCAGTCGCGCTGCTCTGGTACTTCGTGAACTCTGCCCTAGAGATCTTCACAGCCAATCCTACCTTTACATACTAATTGTTAGGCCAGAGCCTAGGAGAGAGACAGAAATTTTGGGGGGAACTGTAATTAGCCTTTAGATACTTATATAATTAATATGAGATTATGTCTCAAGTCCAATAAGATTTTGCCCGTGCTTGGATATTTATTCTCACCTCTTTTTTCGCATTGCCTGGAGAGTGTTGCTAATGTTTCATTAGTCTGGAGTCTGAAGCAGGCTGGTTTGTACTGGAACACTCTCAGGCAGGGAGGACCCCTGCTGCTCCTCTGTGGTGGAGCTCCAATAAGGAGATTTAGTCTGTTGGGGTTCATTCAAAACTGAAATTAATCTCTAAGGGCATTTTTGTTTTAATCTAATGTGGGCCTTCTGACCAGCCCCAGCCATGCATGCTTAGGAATTAATATAATATGTGAACTCAGAAATCAGTGCTAACTCTGCAGCAGCAATGCAGAATGCTGCTTTTTTCAGCCATTGCAGACAGAGATGCCTCCAAGTGGCCTTGAGCCCCAGCCTGCACCTCCCCTCCCAGGAGGCTGAATTCTTGCAAACCTGTTGAAAGATGGTACCATAAGTCTGCCTCCACAGTGTCTGTGTGGGTGGATGTGGGACAGAAGACCCTACACCCTGCATCACCAGGGAAGTGAGAGAGAAATTGACTTTGTCCAGATATTTCTCACATTTGGAAGCCTCCTGGAGTGTAATTTATGAACTGTATTATATGGCACTGGAACTTAGCAGGAGCCAGAACTGCCCAGGGAGCTTCTAGCCCATCTTAAAGACATGACACGTGGTTGCCACACATGAAATTCACAACCATAAATTTATATTTATTGAGTATATTATACACCACACTTCCTCCAAGGAGCTCAGGGCAGCATACAGGTTTATCACTCGTCCTCCATTTTATCCTCACAACAACCCTGTGAGGTAGGTTAGGCTGAGAAAGACTGACCAACTCAAGGTCACTTAGTGAGATTCATGGTGGCGATTAATCAGGTCTTAATTTGACACACTAACCCCTACACCACATTGAGTCTCCAACATTTGTAACAGGAATGACAGAGCAATGCAAAAAACTGACTTCAATTAATGCCAGGGCTACACTTATAACAGCAGTAAATATTACCTGATTTCTACCCAACCCCCTGCTGGTAATTATGCAATTGCATAGTCAAAGCTTGGTGCAAAATACTGTTGTATTAGGAAAACTGTTCTCTGTAGGAAAAGCTTTCTTCTTTCTGTAATTTAACTTATCAAATGCCAGTGTAATTTCCATGATGGATTTCCCCTTTGTTTCTGGCAGGAACAGGTAGATAAATACTCCTGAAACAGCAAGAATTCCCATGAAAATCAGGAAGCAAAAGGGTCCAAGATATTCCTGAAAATAGAAATTAAGGAGAAAAGAAAAATAAGAAACCCATTTAAAGAATCTTCAAAGCCAGAAAGTTTCTAAAGTTCTGATGTATAGATTAGGACCACACTCCAATGTATAGATTAGGACCACACTCTGAATTTTTAGAGATTGATCAGGAATTCAGACGAACAAGAAAAGAAAAATAAGAAACCCATTTAAAGCATCTTCAAAGCCAAAAAGTTTCTAAAGTTTATGGCCAATGTATAGATTAGGACCACACTCCAAATTTTTAGAGATTGATCAGGAATTCAGATCCTGCTTTTCAGCTTCAAGCAACTATATTATTACAGTTCTGATTTTGCAGTGCCTTAACAACAACAACAGAGCACTTCATGCTTCTCTAAGTGCTTTGTGCAAACTGCTCATTTGATTGCCAGTTTTGAATTTCTTACCACAAGGAACGGGAAGATCATCCCAAGCAGAAAGAGACCCATCCAGTTGATAAACCCCACGATCACAAAGGCTGAGGGGCGGAAGGCCTGACTGAAGATCTCAACCATGACGGAAATTGTGGCGCCGGCTGGGGAAAGCAAATAAGAATGAAGGCCATAGCACACGGATTCCTCATTCCTCTTCTACATCCCATATTATATGGGGCTGAGACACGTGCATCTGCCCCCCCCCCCGGCAAAACGTTTTGGGTGGCTCACAGCATGGCACTGCAGTTTAACCATGGGGGAGAGGGGGCAGATGAAGTGGAGCAGCCACAGCCTGCAGGCCTTTTACATACTCCTGAGGTATAATACCTTTGCTATACTAATCACCACTGAGCACCATTCCCAATCTTTCTCTAGTCCACTCTCACACAAACACAAGTCCAGAGCATGACGATGATACTATAGAGGGCAGTGGAAGAATCACAAGGACGTAGCTTAATCCAGAAGTAGCTAGGCTGTACACTTGGTAGTACACTAGCAATAGCAAGTCATTCTTCCCTCTCCTCTTGACCAAGTGGCCAGGGGCTTTCTGTACCAGACTGTAAATGTATCCAGGGATCTGTAGCCCTTGGTGGCTGCTTACGCTGCTAAGGCATTCAAGCTAGGCTTTGAAACTCCCTGGCCCCCATCGTGCCCTGTGCTGAGGTACTTACATGGTCCAATCCCATAGAAGAGAACGAACAAGAAGATGAGAATGACACTGAAGTAGTGCATCCAAAAGAAGCGATGCTAGAGTGAGAAAGAAGGCATGGGGAAAAAATGCAATTGGTTAAGTGAACTTGTTGCCAAGATAGCTGGAGTTCAGGGTGAGGGTGCCAACTTCTTGGGGCCTAGATACAAAGAGATACGTTGAAGTGGGGTATCTGGATTGTATCATCACAGGTCAGGATGACTCCCTCGCTGCACCAGTCTTAATGGCTCCCCAAATATGCCAGTTAAGGCACCCCCTTCAACAGTAGGGCCAATTCTACTTACTTGGAGTGAGAGAGTCAGTGTAAGTAGAGCAAGCACCAAAACCATCAATGCATAGCCTCCCCACAGCAGCACCTTCCGGCCAAAACGCTCAATAAGGGAGCTCTGGAAGAGAAAATCGAGGGATTGTGAAGAGAAGAGGGAGATTGGATTTATATCCTGCCCTTCACTACCCGAAGGATTAGAGCGGCTTACAATCCCTTTTCCCCTCCCCACAACAGACAACCAGTGAGATACGTAGGGCTGAGAGAGCTCTCTCGAGAACTGCCCTTGAGAGAACAGCTCTGAGAGAATTTATGACTGACCCAAGGTCACACCAGCAGCTGCATGTGGAGAAGTGTGGAATCAAACTTGCTTCTCCCAGATTAGAGTCCGTGCTCCTAACCACTACACCAAACTGGAGTGAGGGTATTAATTGTCCACCTGTGGGACAGTAAGTCACCGATTTCTTTTTCAGAAATATAATGTGGGATAAGAGGAACCTGCTATCACTCCCCATGACTTTGTAAAGCCAGGAGCAAGAAAAGTAACCTGTTCTGTGTTTAAGCATCTTCTGTGATCTCTGGACTTACACACAATATGGATGAGATGCATTCACAAATACCAACACCCAAAGATATGTATGGGATGAGGGGTTCTTCAAACTTGGCCGTGCGTAAGACTTCAAAGGAGTAAAAGTAGATCTGAAAAGGCAGAAGGGAGGAAGGAAAGAGACTTGAGTTGTTTCACACATTGACACCTGAATCCAGCATGCACACATACTGTTCCACATATACAGGGATTCTCTATCTCCATTTGTTTTCTACAGGCAGGGAAATATTCTGCACATGCAGTAGCAAGGACAGAGTCCTTGTGCATGCATTATGGAGTATTTCTTTACCTGACTGGTTTTCAAACTGTGGGTCGGGACCAAAAAGTGGGTTGCAACTCTTGTGGGGGGAAAGAGGAGAGGAGGAACAGGGTCGGTTGAGAGAGTACAATGAATGGAAAATACATGTTTGCCTCCACACAATGTGTAAAATGGCCATGAAATATAGTATGATGCTCAGTAATGCTATATATTCATAAACAGGAAGTACAAAGAATGAAATATGAACCTGTTCAGTATGAGATTGCTGAGTTTCTATGATCAGCAGGGGAAAAGTACTGTGAAGTCCCTTTGCATGTAATCCACCTTAAGTCGCAATGAGAACAGGGAACTATAAAATAAGTAAGTCTCAAAAGTATAGTAAGTCAGAAATGTGTCTCTTTTTAAAAGGTTGAAGAATCACTGCTTTCCTCGGACACAAAGGGACACTCCTACTTCCTTGAGGCTTTGAGCTGTGGGCTAAATCCTTCCCAGCAACCTTTAAAACTCGTATTAGCTTCGCATCTGTTCTCAATACAGAGAAGCCTACACCAGGGCAGGGGGAGGAAACTGCTAATGTATGCATTTGGGATGCCACTACCATAGAATCTATTTAAAGTAGGGGCAGATTGTGTGGCTCAGTTGCCAAGGTGGCTGCAAACACTACCACGGAAGCTCTAGAGTGTCTTAGATGCTTTAAACTTCCTTTCCTGAATAAGTTCTTTGATTCCACAAAACCCTGCTTGGATCTGCAGCAAGCCATTAAACTCTGTCATCTCTGATGAATGTAGGAACCCAACAGCTGCTGGGTCCATGGTGAACAAACACTCAACTGCATTGATGCCACAGAGCTGCAACGTGGTCATGACGGTGATCATCACATAGAGCTGCCAGCGCAAGGACTGGGTCTTCATAACTTCAAGAACCCGCAGACTTTTGGAGCTCGCCATGGCTGCCTTCTCCTTTTTTATGTCCTCGATCTCAGCTTGATGGTCACCTTCGCCCCAGAGCTGCTTGATGGCTGTGGCATGGAAGGACCTAAAAGTCTGAATCCATCCATCTGCCCAGCCAACTTTTACTTGACTTATATGGAAGATAAGGAAACTACAGCTGCACCTGCTTAATCAGTGGGGCTGAGAGCTAAGAGCACCTGTGACTACCTTTTGAGGCCACACTGATACCCAGACCAGTCCCAAACAATGACAGACCAGCACTGTTTGTCACCATGTGTTCTGTCCCCAGTCCTGTCCCCAAATGACATCTTTCCCAATTATGGGGCACTCCATATTTTCCACCATGACCTCCAAATTGTCTGTTCTACATAGACACAAGGATTACAAATCCTCTGAAATAAATTAGGGGAGAGGAGGTCTCCTACCTTTCTTGAAGGCTTCTTCGTTGCCCTTCTGTATCAAAAGGTATGGTGGGGAATCAGGAAAGCAAGGGAGAGTAACCAGCTGAATCACTGTTGTGAATCCAGTAAAAGCCAGCAGTAAAGGCCATAGAGATTCGCTTCCTAATATTTCCCTAGGAAAATAATTAGTCGAAACAAATCACTGTCCACCCAGTACAAGCACAAGCACTTTCCTGTTCCTGAGAGCCAGGATTTATTAAGGGCGAAATTTCACTGCTGCAGATTTCATTGTATAGCGTAGATGCAGCAGGGTTGATAGTTAGAAAGATCACTTCTTCCATTACTGCCATGCTAAGAAAGAACAGCAAGGCTCTTCTTATGTTGGATCAGACTAGTGGTCCTTCAAGTCCATTATCCCGTTTCACACAGCAGCAAACCAGTTGCTCTGAGGGGGCCAATAAACAGGACAAAGATGCCAAAGCCTTCCCTTGATGTTGCCTCCTAGCTCTGGTATTTAGAGGTTAACTGCTTCTGAATGTGAAGGCTCCCTTTAGTCATCATGACTAATGGAGCTCTGCTTCTCAAATTTATCTAATCCTCAATTAATAAAAACATATCACAAACATATCTACGATGAAAGAAGACATGCGTGCCCAAGTTCACCTTCCTGTCACAATTCTGCAAGGCACAAAAGTTCAGACTTGTACTGAATCGGAAAACGCTACCCAAAATGGAACCAGAATAATTTAAATGTGCTGTTTCTCTCCCCTCCCAACAGAAAAATTAAAAAGAACATCAACTCTTCAAGTGTCAAATTTAATCTAGTGCTTTTGCATGTCAAAAGATCACTGTTTTCACTTGTGAGACTGAGATTTCTAGTACAGACGTCTTCCCCTCCTGAAACAAACACATTTTATTTATATTTATATAAATATATATATATTTATAATGAAAGATCATGTATTTTAAGAAATTCAAGAGACTGTGGTGCAGCCTTATTTTATTTATTATTGTTTCAAACTCTGTACCATATATTAAATCAGATGGGAAATAAAACATTCAAGATTACTATCTATATTTTCAGCCCAACATTTATTTTGAGCAGGCAATTCTTTTTTAGCTTCAGCGGATCCTGGAAAGATTAAATCTACAAGCAGGGCTTTATCAAATTTGATGAAAACGGATCAGCATGCAAAAGTGAACAGTCAAATGTCATGCTGTAAAATCAACAAATCTTAAGAAACTGATGTGGCTTATGCCCTCAATCTGAATTCTGCACCTAAAACCAGAACTCTGCATATATGAGTGCCCCAAGCCCAAGATGAGCAGCTCCAGAATTTAAACTATCAAAGAAATTCATTACATTTTAAATGACTTCATTTTAATGTAGTGCTATTGGACTCTAAATGCTTTCTAGAATTGTTTTACAGATGCATTTTATATAGCACTGAGGTAGCTGCACTTACCTGAGGCCAATAACTTGCCCTGAGACTTTGCCCAGGGTCAAAAAAACAGCCACTGTGGCATTTGTAAAACCACGCAGCTTCTTGGGTGAAATCTCTCCCACATATTGAGGGTGTATGTTGAAAGAAAATCCTTAAGGGGGGGAAAAGATGAAGTCACTGTAAATCATTACACCTCTAAGTAAGGTTTACTTAGCAGTAAGTCAGAACTGGCCTTTTAGTGGCTTTACACCTCTGAAAGGTGACTTGTGAATAGTTCAATACACAGGGTATAACATGACAGATGTTGAAAAATCTCTCCCCAAAGGGGCTTGAGGTTTCAATACAGACATGTATGCAAACCACAGTGGCTGCAGTTAAATTTCTAGCAAGTGACTTGAGAAGTTGAGAACAAGGATTCCTTGCGTGTGTAAAGAATGTTTTTCGATTCAGAGGAGTCCTGCATCAATAGCAACACCTATCCATTAATCCTGTCTTTGTTCTACCCTTTATTCAAGGACCTTTCAGTAGTTTACAGTGTTATGCTATGTTCACAACATTATGGGGCAGATTAGGGTGAGAGAGCAACTGGCCCAGTGAGACTCATGGCTTGGGAGTTAATTTGAATTAAGGCTCCCCCGAACCGGCAGTCTTACATTCTAACCACTGCATTACCCTGGCTGTCTGGAATGCCTGATCATGAAAACAAGCCCTTGGGAAAGACAGCCCAATAACAGCAGATGGTCAGCAGGTGGCTTGGGAGAGGAGCAGAGCCACGCACTTCAGGTCTGAAATGACAGCAAGGGTGTCATCCTGTAATGATACCCTCTTCCACATTTCCATTGCATAAGTCACTGAAGAAAGCTGTCTCTCCAGCACAGGCAAGCCTTCTCTTCTCTCTTCTGCTATTCAATCAGATAGATAAAATTTTACAAGTCATTCACCATCTGAGTTGTATATTGTTATCGACTTAAACTAACACCCTAAGGAGTCAAACTGACTGACAACATGGGTACAAATCTACTAACAGGTGTTAATGACCCTGCACAGTGTTATGGCAACCATGATGCTTTCTGCGTACCAATGCCAATTCCACAAAGGAAGCGCCCAACGAAGATCATCTCAAAGGATCTGGCCATCTTGCTAAAAGCCATGAACAGTGCAGCAACCAGCATGATCAAGTTGGTGAACATCTGGCACTTCTTTCTGCAACAAAGTCGGCATAACATGAAAAAAAAATGATTAGCTGATATTCCCAGTGGGTTCCTGAGCAACATCTTGATCGCTCCCATCTATAGCAGCATGATTTCTTACTTTGTGGCATGATTAAGGGTGAAATCAGATGATGGTTCACCACAGTGTACCAGAGCCGCTTGGTAAGCCAGCCATCTGCATCATCCTGCCAAACAGGGAGGAAAATCTTAGCACTCCTTGGCTTTGTTTCTCCATATTCTGTTCAAGTACAAAAGTGAACAAAAATTCTCCCCTGCAATTGGTGGGATAATACAAACAACTAACTTATCAAATGAATATTGCACAAAGCTATCACTAGATAAATCCGGGGTCTGCAACCTATGGTTCTACAGCCAAATGTGGCACAGTACAGAACCAACAATGGCTCTTAAAAAATGAAATCTCTAAGTGTGGGTATATTAGAGAGGAATAAGGGATGCTACAATAGCTGGTGCGTGAAGGGAATGGCAGGCAAAGATTTTGATGGGAATAAAGGGCTTCTTGGAGATGCTTTATGGAAAGGGAAATGATAGAGGTGAACAGGTGCCAGGAATCCAAGTGCAAATCATGCACAGCTGTATGCCAGAGCACTGAAAAAATTGCACAGGGTGCTCCTGTGTATATGTATTACATATTGCAAGACCTTGTGCATGCCATTGCTTAATATAAGACTCATGACTACTGTATGGACTGCAGAAACTTTATGAATTATTAACCAACATGTCAATGATCAATGTTAATTTGTATATTTTCATTTTGGCAACTGCATTTTCTGATACTGGCTCTTTGTTGATGTCTTACTTTGAATTTTGATGTAGCTTGGCTTGTTAATCATAAAAGGTTGTTGATTCCTGTGGTAAATGCTCTGTATTTCCCTTAAATCCAACACAACCAGGGCCCAACTCCAGGTCTTAACTCTACATCATGACTTCCAGACACTATTGCCAGGCTCGGAAGCCTGCTGTAGGAGAGTGTGAATATAGAGGGATACCTTTTTGTAGGGCCAAGATGCTATGAACTGAAAGGCCCCTTTCAGTCATGCAACCCAAGCTGTCAGTCAGGAGGATGATTTCTGAAGAGTCCTGTTTCAGAAACAGTGCTGAGAAGACTCATACGTTCCAGGCATTGGAAATACTTACTTCCTATATTTTGTGGTAAGGTACCCACAGCAAATACTTCCTAGCAGGCCTCCTAAGCCATAGATGGACACGAGGAAGGACCACATTAAGAGGATAGTCTCTTGAGAGAGGGGCAAGCCATGCCGCTCCATCCAGGTTTCATTGATAAAAGTTTTAATATACTGTAAGCAAAAATTACATGTTTTAGAAAAACATGGACTACCCTCATATTTCTTTGCCATTTTTAAGCTGCCATTCAAGTGAAGTGATCAGGACATTTTGAAACTCAGTATTTTGTTTCTTTAAATACACCCTCAGGTTATCACAGCTCTCCTTATGAATATTGTTTGCTGTTTCTAATCAGAGATATGCAGAAATGCCAGATACAGCCTATTGATTTATGTACAAAAGGTTGCAGTGCCCAGCCATTTCATGTTTTCCCTTGGGTCCTAGACTCAAAACACTGAGAACTCAGAACTCACATCTTTCAGCACAAAAAAACTCTTGAGGCTGCTTCCAGATTCATAACAAAAACACTCAGAATCACACAACAAAAATGCTGAGCATAACATTTGCTCAACTATGATTAAATCCATATGCTGCCAAAGCATTTCCTGAAAATCATTTCTTTAAAAAGCCAGAAGCACGCATTATAACATTAACCAATGAAGGGCCAATTCAGTCAAATTAACAGACAGCAGAATTTAGGGTAGTCAGAATGCTCAAAGCCAACACCTTGAACTGTGCTTTGAAGCTCAAAGGGAGCCATTGCATTTCCCATAAATGCATGCATTATGATTTCACAATCTGCTTGTGCTGCAAGCTTAGGAGGTCTCTTGTGCAAAACCCCCCAGGACTCCAAGCCATTACAGTAGGTATGCTATGCTAAACATTTTGATGAACACTTTGAAAACATAATAGACAAAAGGCATTAAGGTGGCCTGAAATTGGGACGATAGTTCGCTTGTAGAAGCCTACAAGAAATAAATTCCTCTTGCAAATCTTTGGCATAATGTTTTTTAGACTTTACTCAAGATGGAAACCACCTGTCTTTCCTCCGACAACAGATCAAGCTAGGTAGCTGTGTTAGTCTGTCTCTAGCAGCAGAAAAGAGCAAGAGTCCAGTAGCACCTTCAAGATTAACAACATTTGTGGCAGAGTCTTTAAGGTGCTACTGGATTCTTGCTCTTTTCTACTCCTACAACAGAAAGTTATCATAAGCGGGAAGTGCAAACGCAATGTTAAACATCACACAGATGCTCAGTGCTCTTGAATACTCAAACCCAAGAGACATAAGGAAGTTACTGGCTTACCGAAGAGGGGTAGTTGATTACCGAAATATGGAACCCATAAGGGAAGCTTCCGCCTATTCCTAGCACTAGAATCATCTGAAATAGGCCTCGGTACTGAATCTGCAAAGGCAAAAAACATATTGAGAGCCTACCTCATGCCTGCTGATCATCATTTATATATTTTCTAATATTTCACAGATGAAAATGGAGACACAGAAGAGTATAAAACCCTACACCAAACTACCCAATTAAATTAAACATGCTAGGATTTACAATGTACATTCTCATCTTTTTAAAAACTCGGCTAATTCATTCATAGAGATTTAAGACAAAACAACTGATAACAAGGGAGACTTTTGATTATGTGAAGATGAAAAGCGTTATCATGTTGACCATCATACTAAGTACCTTGGGTCTCCTTGTCATTCTTCCAAGCAACACTATCAATACCTGGACTAGTTCTAAATGCCTTTAATGCTGATTACACAACTGAGGGCCCCCAAACCTTCCTAATAATTGCTTGAGAAAACATGCTTCTCTAGCTGTTTGTGTCAACTGTTGCCATCTACTGGCAAGAACCAGCTTCAGTTTATGTATACTGGACTGGTGAATTACTGCTTCCTTTTAACCCCATCTTTCTCCCTCAAGGAGATCTATAGCAGCTTTTATTGTTATGTTCTCCTCTGTTTTATCTTCACAACAGCCCTGTGAAGTAGGTTAGGCTGAGAGAGTATGTAACTGGGTCAAGGACACCCAGCAAGTTTCCACAGTAGAGCAGAAATTCAAACCTGGGTTTCCCAAATCCTAGGCTGACATTCTAACCACTACATAACACTGGCTCTCATAGGCAGGCCTATTATAAGCAGGTTCACTAAGGCAGGGTTTGTTTTTAATTGCAAACTGTTCCGTTTCAGAGGAATATTTTGCACAGTTCAAAAATGCTAGTAATCAGCAAAATAAAATAAATTACACCAGCCTGAGATCAGTTCAGTTGCTTGCAGCTATTTCCCCACTACTACTCCTCAGCATTTCACAGATAAAGAAAAGGATTCTATAGATCATGGGATCCTTTCCTGACAAGTTCTGTGAAGTTGTTGTCTAGAAGGATGCAGTTGCATACAAGGCAAATGCACACGGGTGCTATAGAAAGATTGGAGGAAGGGACAGACCAGGAACCTAGAGGGCAGCCAGAATGATAGTATAATCCTACATTGAATTCAACAGAAGTTCGATGACACTTGAAAGGCTAGCAATGCATGCATAAAGCATATATGGATGTACACTGCAAGGCATCTAATGAAGTGAATGCTGACTTACAAACTGTTGAACTGGAATAAATGTTGTAAGCCATGTATTTATTTAGCAGACTTTTAATCTTGCCCTTCCTCCAAGCATCTCAAAGTGAATACATCATTCTCCTCTCCTCCCTTTTATCCTCATAACAATCCTATAAAGTAGGTTAGGCTGACAGGCCCAGTGAGCAAGCTTCATGCTACTGGACTTCTGTTTAACTTTACTGCGGCATACGGACACTGCTACTCAACTGGAACTAAAATCTTGTGTTCCGTCGCTCTAGTCTAAACATTTTGATTCCAGTGACATTAGACTGCAGTATCTCCACAGAAGATTGCATTGCTTCTAGCTGAGACTGAGGAAACGAGGAAGTCGGCGGGACTCACCAGGTTGGAGCGAAAACTGCCCATTTCCTACGGCTGGACAGCGACTGGGAGATCTCTGGGTGCAGCCGGCTTCGCCTCCACATCTCGGACACCGCCACACGGCACCCCGATTAAATTTTACTCCACGAGTTGTCCATTAACTACTTTCGGGCGAAGTTCGGAGCGGCTGGTCAGCCGGGGGGGGTCTGGCAGCCAGTGACCACCCATTGCCCACGGCCAATGAGGCTGCCGGTAAAGCTCTCAGCCTTCAGTGCCCGGGACCGACCGCGTACTCCTCCTCCTCCCCCCCCCCCAGTCTAAGAGAGACCCGCGAGTGGAGGGGAACAGCCTCCTGCTGCCACGGGACAGGACACATTGACCAGCCCACTCCAGCCCTTCGAACAAGCAGACCCATGATGGGGATGCTTGCAGGAATCAAAGTTGCTCCGAGGTAGTGCGTCCACGGAAGCTGTTCAAGGGAACACCAACAGCGCAGTACTGAAGCATTCACTCTGTTGTTTTACCAAACCCACACTGGAACAGGGAAAGATGCTGCTCAAAACCACATTCAAATACCGTCACCATACTGACTGCAGAGCCACCCCAGAACGGCCATAAATCTATGTAGACAGTACCATAAAACCCAGAGATCAAAGGAAGTAAACGGGCATGCAGACTGGACATTGACATAAAATCCAACAATCAATCAAAGTGAAAGCTGCATGCAGTGTAGAGTGGAATTGCTGTTCCAAGGTGAGTTTGGTAAAGAGTGGAGCAAATGCTAGAAATGCAGAATGGACCAAAGAGAGTGTAGGGTAGAATGCTCATCACAGCCTGACTTCCGGTTGAATCTGACTTTTTCATGGGCAGGGGGAAGAGCACTAAATGAATGTAAGAATTCTTCTAAAGCGGCGCACCTAGTAATGTTGCCAGCTCTGGGTTGGGGGGTTGGAGGAGAGTTTTAGGGTTACCATGGACTGCCAAAAAGACAAGTAGGTTCTAGATCAAATCAAGCCTGAACTCTTCCTAGAAGCTAAAATTGCTAAACTGAAGCTATCATATTTTGGTCATATTATGAGAAGCCAAAAGTCCCCAGGAAAAACAATAATGCTAGGAAAAGTTGAAGGCAGCTGGAAAAGAGGAAGACCCAGCATGAGATGAATTGACTCAGTCAAGGAAACAGACCTCAGTTTGCAATACCTGAGCAAGGCTGTTTACCATAGAATGTTTTGGAGGACATTAATTCATAGAGTTGCTATAAGTCAGAAGCAACTTGACAGCATTTAACACACACACAGAGTAGTAAACAAATACATGGATCCTGTTTAGTTTGCTTCAATGGATTAATGTGGCTACTCATCTGATTTAGGGGGTGTAATGATTTCATGTTTTGGTGTGTGTATTTCTTTTAAACGTTTAGTTTGACTGCAGTAATATGAGAAGAGTGATAGAGGGAGACAAGTGTGATGTGATTGGCTGATGACTGAGAGTGTGGGAGAAGGTGTGTCTATGAGGTGATTCTGTGTGTGAGGTTTGAAGAGAGAGCATAGATTTTGAGTCTATTCTGTGTGAATAAGACAAACAGTTTACTCTGTGTGAATATGAGTTTTGAGTCTATTCTGCGTGAATAAGACAAAGAGTTCAGCCTGTGTGGCTATATAAATGAGAGAGAGAGATTACACTGAGTGTCTACAGCTGTCAGAGTGGAGTTTTGGGAGTTTGAGAGACTGTTTGTGACTGACACCAAGCTTTGCCAGTTATATTTAAAAGTTCCTTTCATCACCAACAGTTCAAGATAACCAGAAACCTATTCTGTTCTTTATTTAATAAATCATTTTTTGTTTAAACTTATCCCAGAAATCAGAATCGTCCTTCCTCAGAGCCACATAGTCCTCTGAAGTCCCCAGACCCTAGGTTATTCTACCAAGAGAGAGAGATTTGGAATTTTTAATTCCTGGTGGCAGCAGAAATCTACCAAGTTTAGGTACACAGAGAGTGTTTTAAAAGGTAAAACTGTCTCCCCAATAAGCGAGGACGCCACAGTTTTTATTTTTCCCTGCTTTAGTAACTTGGGAATTTTCACTCACACTGACAGGAGTCTGTGAGGCTTGATTTGTCTCTGCCTCCTGACCAATGTTCCCTCTAAGCTGTGGAGTCTTGTGAGCAAAAATCCTACTTTGTGAGCTACTGGCATTAAAGTTGTGAGCGAGCTATTTAGCTACTGCATAAATTAGTTTGCTCTGAAACTATCCTTCCTGAGCTAGGATAAAAATGTGTGAGCCAGAGGCTAACAAACTGTGAGCTAGCTCACACTAACTCAGCTTAGAGGGAACACTGCTCCTGACATGTATCGGTTGCTAAGATACCTAGGGGTTGCTTGCCTGCTCTGCTAGCTTATCTTGAAGCAATCCCTTAGAGTCGGTACATATTTGAATCCTTGCCTTTGCTCCCATTACAGCATGACAACCGTGGTAGAATAGCCTTCCTGTGCAGATCAGAAAAGGCTTTATCCTATTAGGATGTTGATTTATTTATTTATTTATATTTTCAATTTGTATCCCGCTCACCCCCGAAGGGCTCTGAGCGGCTTACATGTTCCAATTCATACAATCCTAAACCTAGGGCCACATACATGTAGGGGACGTGACAAGCCTACCAGGCACCCTTTCTGTGTAGCAGATCTTCGTTGTTACTGCCTTGCGGGAGGTAGTCCGGCGGCGTCCACTCCAGCGCTGGTCTTTGAGGTTCCTCCTTCCGGCTGTTGCGAATTCATGGCAGTGCATGACTAAATTATTTAGAAGAGATTTCCAGTTGATGAAGGTTTTCTAGTTGTCTGAAGCTGTTTTAAGATGTGTCATATCTAGGCTGTATTTGTTTTACTCTGATGTATTAAAAAAAACCCCACTGTATCCCACCTTGTTTTTAGGAAAAAGGGAGGCTAATGTCATCAGTAAAAAATAAATGAAACAAGCCTATCAAAAATAAATGAAACATTCCATACCTTTGCCTAAAAGTCAACAAGAAAACCTTCAGTATTAGTAAATGCTGCACAGGAATATGTGTGATTTAAAAGTAGTCATCCCATCAATGATGCCTTGCCAAATAATGATGAGTGCAGGGGTCCAAACCTGACCTTGGCAACCTGACAGACCAAAAGTCAGGCAAGATGGTGGCAATGCAAGAACAGCAACCATCATTCCAGGCTTGGTGCTGTGGAACAGAGGAGTGGGGCCAACCCAATTAAGAAAGATTATGTAGATGACAACACAGATGGAGCCAAGTGTTGGTGCTGTTGCCTGGGCAACATAAGGGGAGGGAGAAGAAAGCCCTCAATGCCTTGTGAGATTTAGAAGTGAGACTTTTTCTGGTGCTTTGTTGGCCAACAAAGAAGCATCTTCCAATGCAACTTCAGTCCAGGACGAGGAAAACTATTGTTCTCCTTATCTGAGGCTTTCCCAAGGTGAAAGTCATGAGTTTCATGAACTCCAACTTTCAAGGAAGGCACACTAACTCCTTCACTCAAAAGGGCCTTGGCCCAAGCCAAAGGTACCATAAATTTACAATGAGCTGGACTACCTTGACCTGAAGATGGGATACAAATTAATGGGTTGAAAATAAAAGGTTGCTGTTCCCTGAGCCCCAGAGAGCATATGAACTTCTTCATTTCTTATAGATATCTGCTGCTGCCTCTTTGGGCGGGTGGCCCCCCAAATTGCCCTTTCATTCTCCTCTTTCCTTAGTGTGGCAAAAATGACCTGGCACCGAACTGGTCAAGGTTAATATTTTATCAGTGCATTCAGTTCTTTTGGATTAATTGTACATCAGCTAGTTGCATCTAGTCCAATCCAATAGGTAGGTGAGGTATTTTGGCATGAAGATATTTACTAATGTGTAAGTGATCATTGAATTGTGGAGGAATGGACTTTAGTCTAAGCAGTGATTAATCTCTGGTCTTAAATCTGTCATTTCCAATGCATGACCCCTGGGTTTTGGTATTTCAAACAAAACAGCATTGTTTCCTTTGTGGCATTGCCTCTTCCAAGAAGAAGTCTCACGTAACATGTTGACCAGTTTAAAAAGTAGGGGCAGCTTCTCTCATAATTGCTGGACTATGATGGGTAAAGTTATTTGCATAAAAATTCCCCCTTTGCACAAAACACTGGGTCCTTGATTCATATTGAACTGGACAGCATTGGTGCTGGGAACAACCCTTTATGTGCTGAGGATACACATAGATGCTTCTTGTGGTTACAACTTAACTTTTCTAATCCCAGTCATTAGCAGTTTTAGCTCTGAATGCACCAGAATGGATGTTAGACCTGGCATAAAACACTGTGCAATTATATGCCAGAAATTCAAATACCGTTTTGAGCATCTCTGATGTGGGTGCACTACTTTGAAAACTTAGGCAAGTGTTTCATGATCAAATAATCAGTGTGGTGCTATCAGCCAAACAGTTAGTGATCATAACCTTAATAATATTAATATCTGAACTTCGTGATCCTGGGGGGGGGGATTGTCCATTTTTACTTCTAGTGCTAAGGTCATGTGACAAACACTGACAAGAAATAAAAGCTTGATCAGAGGCTTTATCTTATAAAGATGAACAAGATGTAGCAAGGACATGGAAAGACACAAAATACAAGAACATATAATTTCTTAACAAAACATGCTTGACAGGATTCACTTTGGGATGCTACCATCAAGATAGGGCCTGGACTTATACAACAGATTTCCAGACTACAAAGATCAGTTCCCCAGGAGGAAAGGGCAGCTACAGAAGAGAGACTTTGTTGCACAAGGCTGCCAGCTCCAGGTTGGAAAATTCCTGGAAATCAGGGGGTGGAGCGTGGGGAGGGCAAGTTCTGGGGATGGGGGGGGGACCTCAGTGGCATATAATGTCACAGAACGTAGCCTCCAAAGCAGCCCTTTTATTCAGCAGAACTGATATCTCATCTGGAGGTCAGTTATGATACTGAGAAATCTTCAGGTCCCACCTGGAAGTTGGCAACCCTACTGTGGCATCACATCCCTGCTGAGCTCCCTCCCCTTCCCAAAATAAGCTCCCCCCCCTAAGCATCACCACCAAATTTCCAGGGGTCTACCCAGCTACAGTGAGTGACTCTAGACTGAACAGAAGTTAAGCCATCTATGTTTTTAAAGTTTGTCTGAATGAAGCTTAACAGAACAAATCCTTATGCTTTGAGGCACAGAGAAGAGAGGACCACGGTTTGCTGGGAAGCCAAAGATGCATTCGGCACAGCAGTCAGGAGAGGGCTGCACCTTTGAAGCCTGGGTACATATATCGCGTCAGAGACATATTCAGACCAAAATGAGTAACATCAAGACAACAAGACAATTAAGGGTCTTATGGTAGTTTAAAGACTACTACAATTCTTCCAGCAGAAACTTTCATGTTCCAGAGTCCACTTTATCAAATGCATGATGGGAAAAAGCATACATGTTGATGAATGGAGGAAGGACAGCTTGGGAATAGGCATTATTACAAAGGGAGTTTTACAGCAATGAGTTTTTTCCACCAATAGGTGATAACTTCAAATTCTGCGATGTCCACAATTGATTTCCCTCCTGTCTCTAGAAGGGACGGGTAGAAGAAGAACATTCCTGAGCCTTCATGGATAATGGTACAGGTCACGAAACAGAAGCAGCACGGATTGCCCTAGAAACAGACATGGATAAGTGAACAATTAACGAGCATGTGCCAGTGACGTTTGCTACCTTGTGGCTGAATCATTGAGGGAGTTTTTATATGGGTACATGCATGAGATGGTTTGGATGGTGTGAAGTCCAGACAAAAGATCACACTGGCTACTGATCCACTCCTGAGCCCAGTTCAAGGTGCTGTTTTTGAGTTTTAAAGCCCTACATGTCTTGGGACCAGGATATCGGAAGGAGCGGTTTCTCGTATATGTTCCTGTCCCAGAATTGAGATCACAGGGAGAAGGTCGTTTGATGGGTATACAAGACAGGGCCTTTTCAGTGGCAGCCTCATGATTATGGAACAACCTCCCCAGGGAGGAGTGCCTGATCCCCTCCCTTTCAGTCTTTAGGAGGCAGCTGAAGATGGTTTTATTTAGGAATGCATTTAATTAAAGCAGTCCTAAATTGTGATTTTAAATTTTGGTTTAATGTTTTTATATAACCTATTTTATGTATTCTATTAATATTCTAAGCCACCTTGAGAAAAACAGGGCTTAAATGAATTAAATAAACTTACCTGTACCTGTAAATGTACACATGGAAAATATCACATCTAGTTAGGGCCTCCTGAGAGACTGGAGCAACTTTTGTCTTCATGGGTAGCTGAAAAGAAAGTGTCTGAGGAACTGAGCTCTGACTCATGAAAACTTATCCTGGAGTAAATGTTGTTAGTCTTTAAGGTACCCCTGGACTTCTATTTTGTTTAGCTGAAAAGAAACCAGTAGTGGATGTGGAGACACTGGGGAGAGCTCTGTTTATTGAGTTCACAGATCTGGCCAGCCACTCAAGACCGGTCTCTGATGTGGTTCTTCGGCCGACTGGGTGATGGTCTGGTATGAAAAAATATACACAGACGTGTGCTAGATGCCCACAGAACAATACAACAATGAATGAGACTAGATCAAAGCCATAACATCATTTTGTGTCTGGTAACAAAGAACAACAACATATTCCTTCATAGAAAAAATACAAAGGTCGATAAAACTCCACATAGCAGTCTGCTCCAGACTCTCTCAATCTATATCCCTCTAACAGTCTTGTATCCTTATCCAAATTCACAAAAGCAGTCTGCTCCAAAGTCAATCAATCTGTGTCTCTCTTTCAGTCAACACTTTTTCCGGATATCTAAGTGTTTCAGACCTCTGGTCTTTCCTCAGGAACAAATCCTATATAAGATTCTTACATTCAGTCTTACATTCAAGTTGACACTTTCATTGATTTACTTTTCTGTTAGTCTATTTGGGCAAGGTCTCCTCCCTTATTTCCAAGCATGCTGATAATGCTGCCAAAGTAAAATGGACCCACACTATGCCTCACTTTGGCAGCAGCCTAGTCCTGTATTTTCTCTGCAGTGCTAATGAAGAAACTGGGTTTTTTTTGCAAGGGACAATCTGCAGGAAAGATACTTAAAGTTCACCCACCTGCTGACCAACTCCCCAACACAATCAGGATCCAAAACTGGAAGTCAGCCTAAATCGGAGAGCATCTGCAGGGGAAAGTCATCAGGCATAGGAGGGATCATGCACTTTCCCCTCCCACCCATCTGCCAAACCTTCCCTGGAGGTTCCTCCCGTCCCATATTCCCATTCCCTCTGCAAACACTGTCGGGACCACCAAGAAAATGCCTAGGTCTGCCATTATCAAGCCAGCCCAGTTTTCTGCAGGCAAGCCATGAATAACTTACCCTTCAAGCAGCCTTCTGTATTACCATTCTCAGTTCAGAGATATAGTGGAGATTTGGGAAAGGTAAATCGGTGAGAGAACTGCCAAGCCTTTGAATGCCATCAGTAGGGGCCACAAGAACTCTGTTCCCAAACGTTCCCTGGAGAGCAGAAGAATGAGAAGTGTGGTGTCAGAGCGAGGCAAAAATTTGCTGGATGCTTCCTTCACCCCTGCCCCAGAAGGACGGTGCTGAGTAATAACCTGAGGTCCAAGATTTTCTCAGCGAAACCCCCCCCCCCAAATCTAGATGTACCATTTGCAATTCCTCATAATTTCTTAGGGAAAAAACTTCTCCAGCATGCAAAGGGTGAATGGTCATATAGAAGCCTAAAATAGGAAAGGACATTGTGACATTGTATGTTAAGAATTACTTTGACTTTCCAGGGATTGCAAGTGTAACTGGTTTTCTCCCCCTGCACCTGAACCACACCGTTTTAACCACTGCAGTTCATTTGTAAAGGGGAAAGGGTAGGGGGCAGGGGAGAAGCAAGCAGCACAGAGATGGGGCATACGGACACCACCCTGTGTGCCTCTGCCCTGCTCATTGCTTCCACAGCAGGGGTGTTTTCTGGACCCCCTAACCATCATCTTCTTATTGTCTACCTTCTGAGTTTTCCTCTCCTTTGATATGATAATTCCAAACCTGATTCGAGACAATCTTTTTGGAAAGATTACAGTCAAAGCAAACTGTGTGGATGGGAAAGTTTTATTTTTGAAGTTCCTACCCACATGAGCACCATTTTCTCTGCCTCAGTCCCCAAGGCCACCATTCTCACCACCACCATCACCACCACCAGAAGGCTTTTTCAGACTTTTTAAACATTTCAGGAATTGGCACATCACTATAACACAGTAACTTTATAACCATCTATTGCCACAATTTACCAACTCCTCTGAATTCCCAGCTTTAATTTTTAAAAGGTACATCTCCAGACTTTTTTGTTGTGGAGATAAAAGGGGAAAGTTGCAAGGTTCCTGGAACCTATTTGCATCTTATCTGACAGTTGTTGGCATCTCCCTGGGATGGTCTCCAAAAATTAGGCAGCTGTTTTCAAGTGTATGAGCTCATGCGCTAAGCTTGCTGCTGCACCTGCCCCCACAATTGTTGTTGTTGTTCAGTCGCACAGTCGAGTCCGACTCTTCGCGACCCCATGGACCAGATCACGCCAGGCTTTCCGGTCTTCTGTCGCCCTCCACGGCATAGCACACAGCCTCATCGAACCATGCAAGCCCCCTCGCCACGACAAGGCAGTGATCCGTGAGGGGCCCCCCACAATAGCACTCTTAATTAGGCATGTATTACTCACCAGTTCAAAGAGCAGCCCCTCCATCCTGCATTAACTTTCACCAGAAAACGATCCCTGCTGGAAGGGCAGCTGGCTGTGATGCTTCTTTGCTAACCCTGTGGGTGGGCACTGATGGAAACCATGACACCTAAGTTAATTTTAAGTACCCCAAGTGTATCGTTGATGTGCATGGGGCAAGAGTATGGAGTGCTGGATTAATCAACCCATGCACAGAACAGCAGTGGGAAAGGTGAACATTATTTAGGCATGAAATCCAAGCAGAACTGCTAGTTCTATAGGCAACTAATGTGAGAGCTAAGCTATTTCCCCTTTGCATCTCACACTTATCTCCATGCTGTGGTTCTGGCTGCAATACAGGAAGACTGTGGAGTTCCATATGAATAAAGTCCTCCACTTTTTTGGGGGGGAAGAACAGCTTACTAGAATCTGTACTGGTAGGAAAACAGAACAGATTACCCAACATCTTGCTTAGTTGTGAATTCTATCACAAAATACGGGATGGCCTAATCAGCCCCCTTTTGATCAATAGGCACAGTTGCCCAGAAGAGAGACTAGTGTCCTTCCTTCTATCAGATCTCCACCTTCATAGCACCTTTGCAGTGGCGAGGTTTCTCTCTGTTGCTATGAGGGTTAGAGAATATAAGGTTAAAGCTCTGGTGGGATGATTGTCTTTGTATATTAAAAATGTGTGATCTTTATGATGTTGTTTTTTCCCCTATGCCAGTAAAGGTTTTGACTGACTGAGTGAATCTGTAGCATGCTTGCCCACTCCAGCCTGGTACCTGTACTTGCTGCCTTGAGTTAGTAATGCCATTGGCATTGCACAGATCTCTAGACAGCATGCTGCCACTGTGCTACCATCTGTCAGGCAGGGGATATGGGTTCAGCCTGTACCCTATGGACTCCCCCCCCCAAGACGCTGAGAGATCTTGTACAGAAACATTAATATGTGTTATGTATGGAAACTAGAGTTCCCATGATGCTGTGATAACCTAGATTTACCATATTGACATGGGAATAGTAAAGGCCATTATAACCCTGGCCTGCATTGCACAGATCAGGCCCTCTCTATATTCATGGACTGCTGTTTGGTGGAGGATTGTGTAGGGCTACTGGGCACTGTCACATATCAATGATGTCAAGTCTCCCAAAGATAGGCTAGCTGGCTAAGGAAAACCTTAGGCTAATACATTAGTATACCTCCCCTTTCCCTTTCAAACTGGCCTTGAGAGCTGATAACTGTACAGCAATCAGCATGTGTATATGGAGGTATTAATCTGAACGTATACTGCTGTCTGCTGTTATAATTTTTAGATTGCATATTATATGTTTTACATTCTTGTACTTGCTTTCATTCACTTTTATTTGTGTATATGTTGCTTTGCTTATAGAAAAGTGACTTTAAGTGCCCTTCACTTCTCCAAGTGGTGAGAAGTTCCAGGGCCAGCACTTACTAGAGATGGTTTCCTTCAGAGAAAGCACTGGAGATTAATGACATTTTGGATGTTTTCACTTTATTTGTAAATATACAGGAAAAGCACAGGAGGAGGCATAAAAGCACTCCTGCAGGGCAGCATTCCACATAAGATCCACTCCACATAAGAGCCCCAGAGAGAGATATCCTGCACTAGCATAACGGATGCATGTTAATTTGCATCCCAGAGCAAGTTTCTAATCCTGGTTTTAGAAGATGAAAGTATTCTGAGTCTCAGAGGGTTTCCTATGCCCCAAGGCAGTCTTCTTGCTTCTCTCCATAGGCCTTCCTTGCCTTATCTATCCATGCCCCAAGAGTTCAGTCTCTTTGTAGTCCATCACTGTTCTTTATTGCAGTTATAAGCAAACCACCCTGTCAGGCATCAGAAGTTCTGTCACCTACAAACTGGTGCCTCTTGCATTGCTAAAAATAATAGGAAAACAGTCATCTAAATGTATACAACTCACCTTGTGCACTTAGAGGAATTTGAATTGCAATAAATTAAAGTCCCTTGGTATGAAATGTCAGCATTACAACCAAAAATCAGGCTACCTGTGGACTTTCCAAGACAAGGCTTCTTCAATAAGAGCTCATTTCATTGAGGCAGAGAACTTATTTCTGACTTTGGTGACCAATCATAACTTGGTACAGAGACCAGGGTCTCTTGTGAAATTCATTCCCAAAGCCGTCAATAGGAATGCCTTTCCAAACTGTATCCTGCTTATTTCTTCTGTGATGTCTGCAATTGACCTCCCCTTTGTCTCAGGAAGGAAGATGTAGATGAAAATCACTACCACAATGAGCACTGCTAGAAAGATGAGGAAGCAGAAGGGGCCGAGGAGCTCCTGAGGGAGAAAAAACACACACAGGTAAAATGAAATTATCTTCAAAACCATTCAAATTAATAGGGCCTATAGACTATACTATGTTCTGGCGAGGTCGTGACTTCTTAGAGACTTCTTAGGTTCAAAATACATTATATATTTGTTCACTATACAATTTTAGGCTTTCTAAACCCAACTTTTTTCCCTGGTCACACATCAGCTGCAGGAATGTCATTTTAAAGATCAGAGGACTGTTTTTCCAGGTTGAACTGCTATTTGGCAGTGAGGAGGAGCTCCTGCTTTCTCCCTCAGGCTTTTTCGGGTTTTGTTTTTTGGGTTTTTTGCATTTTTGTGTATGTGTGTGCCTGTGCCTGAAATCATGATGACCTCTGGCGACCTCTACTGGGGCACAGAGGACATTCAGAGAAGTGGCTTGATAGCTTGCCTCTGGCCTCCCAGCCCTGGTATTCTCAGGAGGTCTCCCATCCAAATACTTGTCGGGGTCGGCCCTGCTTAGTTTCCGAGAGCTGACAAGATCGGCCTTGCCTGAGCTATCCAGGTCAGGGCCCCCAGACTCCCCCCCCCCAGATACTGACCCCCCAGTAGATAACTTCTGGGGGTGGCATTTCAGTGACTGAAAGCGGGCTGAGTGGAGACAGAAGTGCCCCCCCCACCAAGCAGCTGTTCAGGCTGGGCAAACACTCCCTCTGATCTTTAAAATGACATTCCTGCAGCTGATGTGTGACTTCAGGGAAACAAGTTGGGTTCATCATCTAGGGAACAAACATATTATGTATTTTGGCCCTTAGAGTAAGTACACAGTATCCACAGTAAACCAGCATTAGAAATGCCTATATGACATTTTTGGCGCGCACACACACAGACACACAACTTTCTTCAAACTCAGAGGAAATATGTTCTGGGAAAATTGGATTTGCACAGAACTAATTTATTAGCCAGACCTTGTGTCAAGAAAAGAAAGAGCGGCACCAGTCACAGAAGATAAAAAAGAGGGCCAAGGCTGATGGTACAAAGTCAAGTAAAAATATATTTCACTACTCAGTTAAATTTCCAAAAAATTCCCTACGCATTTTGTTGACAGGGTTCACCAGAAGAATCTGTTCATCTTTCAGTAGTTCTTCAAAATAGTAACTGATTTGTTACTATTTTTGAAGAACTATTGAAAGAGGAACAGATTCCCCCGACAAAGCCTGTTGGCGAAATGCATAGGGAATGTTTTGGAAATTGAACTGAGTAATAAAATACATTTTTACCTGATTTTACACCATTGATCTTGGCCTTATTTTTTTTTATTTCCAGACCTTGTGCCAGCCATGAAGCCATTCCTCTCCGCAGTCTTGGAACAGTTTTTGAAGTGTAAAAAATTGGAGGGGGTGGGGACACACATAAATGAAACACCAACCAATTTAACAAATGTTTCAGCAGATAATCATATTGCACACTTGCTAAAAACAGGAAAACCCAGATGAAAGCATGGGAATCTCAAATCAATGGTCTCACTGAGTTTTTTCTGAATGGGCAGGTATCACAGCAATGTTTTCATCACACAGCTAGGCTCTGATCACTGTTGGGCCTCTAGCTTTATACTATGAATCATGAACACAATAAACATTATTGTGCAGAAGCAGGAGTTATGTATCTCCCTCCCACTTAAGCACCAAGGAAGGTGACTTACCACAACAAAGGGGAAACCCATCCCAACCACAGTGAGGCACATCCAGCTCGTGGTGCCCACAATGACAAATGCTGATGCTCTTGCTGACTGACTGAAAATCTCTACCATGACAGAGATGACACCGCCGCCTGAAAAGGACATGGTGACAGAAAATAAGAGCCTTGGAAATGTTAGCTCCTTGTTCTTCAAAAAATGAAGGAAAAGGTTAGTCTCTCCCACCAAAAGTACTATTTCTGCAGCTTACTGTGGAAGCATGCTATCTGGCTGACCAATCACATCTCAGTGATATATATATTCAGGCCTGGCAAATCAAGGCAGCCATCCAGAGTAACACAAAATGAGAGCTAAACCCATATATCATGTACTTTTCACATAATTGTTTTTTTCGGGCAACACAAGCAATGTCTTTCAGCAAAACTTTAACATCAACAGAGACATTGTGCTTGAGCCAGTAACAGTGCCACCCTACGCCCTTCGAAGTCTGTTCAAGTCATTGGGAGCAGAAGGTTTAACTCTGCTTAGGGTTTCATTTCAGTGCATGAGGTCACTAACCCGCCTGTGAAAATCAATGAGCCTGAATAGTTTGGATGGACTGTGCCAACTGTGCAACACAGCTGATTCTTTTAAAGAAGAGCCATTTGGGTACAAAGAATATCAGGAGTGGTTCATTCATTCCCCCAGAGAATACAAGCACTTTCATTTCCAGTCCACTTTGGTGCCAGACCATGATTGCCTCCTCTCTGCCACTGCCACTTCCTGAAATAACCCTTTGTTCACTTGCTACTGCTCCATGCTGATTTACTCACATGGACCAAGTCCATAACAGATCACGAACAAGAAGATGAGGGTGATGCTGCAGTAGGACAACCAAGGGAACTGATCCTGGAAGAAAGTACATGGGAAGGGAGAAAATTATATCTAAAACAAATGAGATAATGCTACATCTTTCTCATGGAGGACTACATCCAAACAGCAACATTTTTCTTACCGTGCTGTGATTTGAGTGGAGGGATTCAACTGAGCTAGATGGTCAGAAGTGGTCTGGGGTCTGCTGTGAACTGGATTCTGCTATCACCACGATATAGTTTTGGCTTATCCAAGGCATGACAGCCACAGAACCTTTAGAAAATCTACTTTGGCTGCGGTCACACGGAGCATTAGCCACGCTAGAGCGATGGAAGACAAGCGGAGTTTCCAGGCACGATCTCACCGGCACATCTGGGAAGCGTAGCACTTCCGTGGCTCAACTGAGGCTTCCCGCCGAAAACACGCAGCAAAAAACTAGTACCTCGGAGGTACTAGTTTCCGGTAACTGCGGGGCAAGGGCAGGCGTCTGATCGCGTTTCCGGAGGCATCCGGCGCCCGCCCATGTCCCTTTGCGAAAAAGGGTTTTTTTCCCCACATCTCCGTGGATGCGCACAAGCACCCAACGGAGCATGCGCAGTCGTGGTGTACACGAAAACAAAACAAAACAAAACAAAAAATGGAAAAAACATCCAGTTTGCCGCACCGCACGCTTCTTTTTTGCGCGCGGAATTGTCTTGCGATCAGCACCTTTCCCTTCCCACGGTACCTCCACGGTACCTCAACGGGAGGTCTGATCTCTTTACCACGCGTTAGTTTACCCCAGGGCAAGCTGCCATGCTCCCCCCCCCCGCAGTTTCCTGCCCGTGTGACCGGGGCCTTTCATTAGCTGCAGGATGGAGTCAAGCTAGGTTTGGGGATACTCTGAAGATTATTGCAAGCAAACCAAGGCAAGAAGGTAGGCAATAACAGTGGGTATCTCTACACTTCAGAGATGAAGGTGGTATATTTAAAAAAAGAGAGAGATGAAGGTGGTATATAGCAGGCTGTCTTACCTGGTACCAGACCATTAGTTTTTTTAACCCAGTATTGTCTACTAACTTTGACCAGCTCCCATGCAAAGGTACTAACCACCTGTGTTACTAGAAATCCTTTATTTTAAACTGCAGATGCTAGGCATTGAACTTGGAACCTCCTTCATACAACTTATGTATTCTGCTACTGAGAGCGAGCACAAATGCGAAGTGCTTTTCACAAACGTTTTAGCCCCCTTAAAGCCCCTTTTTGGTGAAGAGGGTTTGAAAGGAGGCAAAAATCGTGCAAAATGGAAAGTTGGGTAGAAGGCAATCCAGAACGGACTTTCTAATTAAACAAATATAGACCGTATATCTCCTCTCAGAACTGCTACCTTCACCCCCAGGAGTATGGGGAGATGGGTGTTCAAAGAAGAGGAAGGAGAGGTGGTCCCTCCTGTTTTATGTTTATGCTCTTTGGACCCCACTGAGAATAAGAGCATCCAATATCTGGTACATTGGTTGCGTCCTTTTATTCCTGTTATGATGGTAGAAACTAGAGAAGAAGGGCAATGAGGAACTAGAATCCCAGTTAGAGGCATCCCTCCTTCTCTCTTGACCCATTTCTCTTTGGTAAAAGTACTATATGACACCTTGAATTCCATAAGAAAGAAAGGCAGCTAATAAATTTTTTAAATAAATAATATTAAATAAAGAAGAGTACCAGTCACATCTTAACCACAGTTTTATTTATCCACCAAATGAACTCTGGATGGAAGGATCCCTTTGATTATTAGGACAGGAGAGGTGAGGCAGGCAGCTGTGGAAACCCCATCCACCACTTCCACACACCAAGCAATGGTGGTGAGAACAATCCAAGTCCAGAGTGGGGTTGGTTCTGCTGTCAAAATGACTACTGCACCTCAGAAATGGTGTCAAGTTTTCTATGTTTTGTCCCTGCCTTCTGTCAGAGGAAGAGTGTCAGTAATATATGCTGGTGGTGGAGTGGGGAGGCAAGAAGCGATTTGAAGCCTGCCCGTGGACTATGAAATTCAATGTAGTCAAGGACTGAAGCCTATTGAAAAGAATGAGGGGGACTACAGAGGTTCCACAGCTGCCTTGGTTTCAGCAAAGTCCAGTTACCACAGCATCTACCATGTGTGACTGTTGGCAGTTTCAGACACAGGCAAAAATGGGACTTTTCAGCTGTGGAAACATTAGACAGCTGTGAATCAAAAAGAAGCTTCCTACATTGGGCAGGGTGAAGGGCAAAAAAGTTCACAGCAGATCATAAACCAAACTGGGAACTGTAACTGGTTCGGAGAGTAGCACAGATAGGTACTTACTTGAAGAGACAGGGTTATTACAAGGAGGCCCAAAGCCAAAGCCATCATTGCATAGCCTCCCCACAGCAGAATCCTTCGGCCAACGTGGTCAATCATGGAGCTCTGTTTGGTCCAAAAAGTATCATAATCAGGCATACAGAAGGGAAAATCTCAACTGCAAACCGAACCTAAAAGGACCCTAGACTGATTCCACTGAGCACGTGGTGAATTTATCACAGAATGCCTTGTGAGGAATTTGTAGTAGTGACTCCAAACTGAGGTTGCAATTCACCTCCCTTGTTTTTGATTCCTTTTTAAAAGGGTTTCTAGCCATGGTGTATGACACTTATGACAAGACAGAATTCATCTGTCACACTGCCCTCTCAAGTCATCATGAGGTCAGTTTGTCAGGTGACTTTGATCATTAGTATGTGAAATAATGTCTATGTTAGCATGTTGGTTCTGTCTTTTCAAGCTGGAATTGATCCCATTTGTCATAAGGAAGAAATAAAGAAAACCTACAAAGAAAAAAACCTATAAAGAGCTGCGGTGGCTCAAGTGGTTAAGATGCTGAACTGCAGGCTGTGGAAGGTCAGTAGTTCAGCAGTTCGAGACCCGAGTGTGCCGCATGACGGCGTGAGCTCCCTTCTCTAGTTCCAGCTCCTGCCAACCTAGCAGTTCGAAAGCAAGAAATTGCAAGTTGATAAATAAGTTCCACTTCAGTGGGAAGGTAACAGCGTTCCGTGCGCCTTGGTGTTTAGTCATGCTGGCCACATGACCACAGAAATATCTTCGGACAGCGCTGGCTCTTCGGCTTTGAAATGGAGATGAGCACGGCAACCCTAGAGATTCTGATTCGACTGACTTTCAAGCAAGGGAACCTTTACCTTTACCTTACAAAGAAAGGAACTAGGCTCCACACCAGCTTGATTAATAGTTCTGTCTGAAGTTGGACAGATTATGCTCTCAGAAGCCAAAGCAGCAGTTCTTCTTGCCTTCTCACTTCCTCCAACATCTTTAAAAATGGTATGACAACCTGTGCATGCTCTACGTGGCTTCCCAAATTCCCATTTCTCCAAAGAGTTTACCATTATTTATTTTTTTTGCCTGCTGCCAAGGAAGGTGTTTGACCTCTAAAAAGAGGAATGAATCTCACAGGAGTTCAGGAAGTTCTACTGGGCATGCACTGCTTGCTGCACTGTTTTTAAAGAGGGCTGTGGAGGCAAGGAAGTTAGGTGGTGTGGCCCCCAGGTGGGGAGGCAAGGTGGTAGAGGTGAAGCAGGTGGGATGAGAGATTGGCAGCAGGTAAGCAGGACTTTGCCACCTTCATCCTCCAAAAGCACCATCTGAGGCAATCACTGCAGTTGCTCCCACAAGTTTCACTTACACATAGGATCACAGAGATAAATTCACAGGTACCAACTCCTAGTGCTACATAGGGTATAAGAATGTCATCTAGCTTGGCTGTACGGAAAACTTCAAAGGCATAGAAATAGATCTGGAAAGAAAAAAGCAACACATATCAGAAGCTATGACCATGAACTTTCACTAGTACAAGATCATATGATGTGTTTTAATAATGGAGACTTAGATTTTTAGTACTTTTTGCCAAAAGAAGCCAAGCCAATTGACTAATGGCCATGGCCATGGATACCTTTATGTTCATTGGTGGGATTTCGGTTCAACCAGACTTCTGAGAACTAACATCCAATGTGAGGAGAAGCAACTTGCATGGCAAAACTTCCACCTGTGGCATTTTTTGTATAAACGGTGTTTTATCTGGAAGCATATTCTACAATAACTATTATGCGGCATGTACCACACCCTTGGAAAGAACATGGGGCTGTAAGGGGCAAGCTGTACTTTCTTAAATGATTTACTGTACTCAACTGCACTCAGGCCACACCACTGCATACTCAGTGTCAGCAGAAATACAATGCATAAAGATGGTCGTAGGGATTTATCTTTCATCACTTCTACAATGCTTAAGATCTTTGAATTCCTCATAGCTGCCTTCTGCTTCATCATGTCATCCATCTCAGCTTGATGATGTCCTTCACCCCAGAGGTCTTTCATAGCTTTGTTGGAAGAACAAGGAAAAGACAGTTATCCAAATAACAATTCATTCAGTTGTTCGTATGTCAGCTGAACTCAAAGATCAACTTAGCAAACAGCATTCAGTCACTCAAAAGCCTTCCCAAAATGAGAAATTAGAGACAGAAGAGGAGATGACTGAAGAATCAACTTTTTGAGCAGAGGCTGAATAATAAATATCAGATTCAAGGCCCTCCTTATTGATAATTCCATTTGACTGAAAATGGGCACAATAGATTTTAGCTTTTACCAAAACTTCCTGATTTGATCTAGAATCTGAAAGCTTTTTAATGGTCTCCAAAAACGGATGGGAATTCAGCCTTACTATGTATGTGCAGAAACCACTGGTGTGGACATAAGACTCCATTCTGAGGTCTAAGATTAGTTATGCTTTCTAAGAAAAAGGCCATATATGTCAGGTAGCTGTCAGAGGAATGAACTTTACTTCTAGAAGACTAACAATAGCGCCCCCCCCCCTTAGCAAGAAGAGATCACTTCAGATACTACTACACATAACACTTCAGATATCCTTTACCTACTGATAGGGAAGCTGGCCTTTAAACTAAAATTTCTTTCTTTTCAGAAGATAAGAAAGTGGACTGGAAATGGCTAAGTCTTCCCAAACTCAGAAGGAATACATAACCATATATATATATGTGTGTGTGTGTGTGTGCGCGCGTGTGCGTGTGTATATATATGTATGTGTGTGTGTGTATATATATATATGTATTTAAATGGTTGGTGTAAATGTGTGTGTATATATATATGTATTTAAATGGTTGGTTTTATGGTTTTCTATATGTATTTTAGATTGATTTAGTTGTTTTAATTATGTGTTTTTGTTTCATTTTAACAGTTTAAGATGTGTTTTATTATGGATGTTTTAAATCTGATAGCAGCCTTGGTGGCCCTGATGTAGGGTTGCCAGCTCTGGATTGGGAAATACCTGGAGATTTGGAGGTTGGAGCCTGGAGAAGGCAGGGTTGGGGGGGGGAGAGACATTAACAGAGTATAAAACCATAGAGTCCACCAATGAAAGCACCCATTTTCTCCAGGGGAATGGATCTTGGCTGTCTAGAGATCAATTGCAACAGCAGGAGGTCTCCAGGTGGCACCTGGAGGTTGGCAACCCTACCCTGATGAGAGCAGAAAGGTGGGGTATAAATTTTGTAAATATATATGAAGTAACTGCAAGAGAGCAAAAAAATATCTGCCAGGATGGCAGAAAAAAACATGTAGAAGAAAATACATTTAAAAAGTCCAGAAGCTGGTGCCCCAGCAGACCATTGGCCTACCAAACAGGGAACAGTACTCACATATACAATCTTTCTGGGTTTGCCTGATTTCCTGCAGAAAAGGCTCTTCACTGTAAGCCCAACATTCTTTTCTCATTGAAGGGTGTACTATAGCTGCTGATGTAAAGACTGAGAGGACAGGCTCTCAAAATGGGAAATCTAGAACTGACTGGCCAATCTAAGGGCCACTCTAGACATGACGGCATTCTGATAGCTGTCACAAGGACGCCACTGGCCATTTTAAAGTCATGTGCCACTAGGGCCGGTCCTGATTGCACCAGAAGCGCGGCACTCATGCTTCTCCTCCTAGCCTTTTCACATGCCCTAAACTGCTGCATGTATGGCTGGGGGCATTTTAGCACTTGATAAGGTACCGGAGGTGGGGGGGGGGGCAAAGAGTTCCTCGGTCTGCCAAGCTGGGGCCCAATCCTGATTGAGGCATTTTTGAATGACTTTAAAATGGTAGCCACAAGGACACCATCACATGTAGTTTGGCCTTCCCTTTATAGTGGATGTCAACAAAGAAACAATAAAAGCAGGGAGTGGAGCAGCCAACATTACCTTGTAAGCAGCCTTCTTTGTCGTCCTTTTGAATCAATAGATATGGGGGGGATTCTGGGAAGAATGGCAAGAGCAGCAGTTGTACCAGGGCTGCGAATCCAGACAAAGCCAACAGCAAAGGCCAGAACGTTTGGGTGCCTAAAAGTTCTCTGTTGAGAACATGCACAAATATTTTATTTATGCTCAGTCAATTATCTGATGGGGGAGGGGAGAAAAACTAGGGGACGTCCCTCTTTTCAAAATTCCAGTGATATGTCTGCTTCTCAGAGTTACAGGACAACCCCCCCCCAAAAAAAACAAACAAACCTGGGGTCAATACCCACTGCCCAAATCATAAGTTAACCATACAAAATGACAAAATTAATCCAAACAAAAAAAGAAGAAAAGTCAAAATCAGATACAATGGTCTCGCCACACGATGGGTTTATTTATTATGATTATTTGTCCCAGCATGGCATCTTGGTTAGAGTGCAGGACTACAATACGGGAGACCTTGTTTTGATTCCCCTACTTGGTGATGGAAGCTTGCCGGGTGACCTTGGGCCAGCCGATACTCTCAGCCTTATCGACCTCTTTAGGATATTGTGAGGATAAAAGAGAGGAGAGGAGAACAATGTAAGCTACTTTGGGTCCTCATTGGGAAGAAACGTGGGGATGTAAACAAATCAGTGTAGGAAAGAGGAGCAAAGGCATGGATGGGAATAGCAGAGATTGTTTAGTAGATCAGTAGTCTGGGTGATTTTACCTTAAGCCCATCAATTGCCCAAAGGCTTTTCCTAGTGCAAAAAATGCAGATGATGTGGTGTTTGCAAAGCCTCTCAACCTCTTGGGTGAAACTTCTCCAATGTACTGTCCATGGATGTTCAGGGAGATGCCTTCAAAGGAAGGGAGAACAGTTATATTCCTAGGAATATTTTTAAGAAGTCAACAGATATACAATCCTGACATGCCATCAGCTATATATGCCATGTTCTATCTGATACTGTTAGGCAATATATTACTTATCTATGCACTCCTGCTGCTTTAGTATTTTAATTACTGGGGTAAGTTGGAAGGAACAGAAATGTTTTGGGGGCAACAGCAACCTAGTTAGCAAGTGTAGATTCCTTGCCAGAAACCACCGAACTCCCATTGCTTGGTTTCCCTCTCTCATGGGGCTGTATTATGTTCAGACCCCAATGGATGATGACATGTATTTATTTATTGAAAACATTTCTATGCTTCCTTTCTACCCAATTCATCACCCCCACGGTGGTGAACATTAAAACAAATTATAAAAACATTAAATAATTTCAGACACTGACAAGCACTTAAAATATAAATATATATAAAACATTTAAAACAATTAAATATAACATAATATAAGGAATACAAACCAAAACGAAACAGTAGTCTCTTGCTGGTCGAAGACAGCAATAGAGAGACAGATAAATCTCCCTGGAAACTTGGGAATGGAGTGTCAAAGTTTTGGCATCCTGACCAAGAAGGCCCCTTTCATACATTGCCACCCATCTAGTCTCAGATGGCAGGGACACCTGAAGCAGGATCCCCAGAGATGACCAGAGTGGCTGGGTAAGTTCATGTAGGAGTAGGCAGCCCTTCAGGTATGCTGACTGCAAGTTGTACAGGGCTTTAAATGTCGATACCAGCACCTTGAATTGGGCCCAGAAACAAACTAGGAGCCAGTGAAGACAGAACAAGACTATAGTGGACATTTGGGGGTGGAGCCTGGGGAGGGCAGAGCTTGGGGAGGGACCTCAGTGGGGTATAACGCCATAGAATCCACCCTACAAAGTTGCCATTTTCTTCAGGAGAATTGAGAACTCCAGGCCCCACCTGGAGGATGGCAACCCTCTCCCTATAACCCACTCCGGCCAACATTCTGGCTGCAGCATTTTGTACCAGCTGTCGTTCCAGACAGTCTTCAAGGCCAGTCCCGTTTAGAGCATGCTGCAGTAATCTAATCTAGATGTTATCAGGGCATGCACCACAGTGGCAAGAGCTTTCCTGCCCAGGAATGGCCACAGCTGCCCCAGTAACCAAAGCTGGTAAAAGGCACCCCAGCCACCACTTCCACCTGCTTACCAACAGGAGACCCAGATCCAGCAGTACCCCCGAGCTACAAACCTGCTTCTTTAGGGGGAGTACACAACCACACCCAGAACAGGGATAACCCATTTCTGGTGTCAGACCTTTCCCCCAAAAGCAGCACCTCCGTTTTGTCTAGATTAAATTTCAGCCTGTTAGCTCTCATCTGTCCCAAAACTGCTCTCTGGCACCTGTTCACGGTTTCCACAGCCTCCCTGGGATCTACTGGAAGCACAAAATAGAACTAGGGTTGCCAGCCTCCAGGTGGGGCCTGGAGATCTCCCGCTTTTACAACTGCTCTCCAGCTGACAGAGACCAGCTCCCCTGGAGAAAATGGCTGCTTTGAAGGGTGGACTTTGTGGCATTGTACCATGCTGAGGCCCCTCCCCTCCCCAAACCCCGCCCTCTCCAGGATCCACCCCCAAAGTTTCCAGGTATTTTCCAGCCCATATCTGGCAACCCTAATAGAACCCAGCATTTGTGCCTGCATTAAAGTGGAAGAGCCTCTATATCCCCTTTTTGGATACAGTTAAAAATGTCCTTTGTAGTTTGTAGGAAGAAAATAATTTTAACATTATATATAAAAAATGTCCTTTCTCTGGTGGGGTGGGGTTTCCAAATGGTTTCCCCTCTTGAAATTTATCGTGGCTTCCCAACCTTGATTCTGGGTTGAATTTGGTTTTAGCCAGGGTTATTAGGGCCTACCTGCAGTGATGCCGTAGAGGAAGCGTCCAATCAGAATCATTTCATAAGATCTAGCCATCCTACTGCAGCCTATGAACAAGGCAGCTGCAATTATGATGAGATCACTGATCATGAAGCTTCTCTTTCTGTAAGCAAGAAAGTAAAGGTAAAGGTTTCCCTTGCTCGAAAGCTAATCAAATCCGACTCTAGGGGGCGGTGCTCATCTCCATTTCCAAGCCGAAGTGCCAGCACTGTCCGCAGACTTCTCCATGGTCATGTGACTGGCATGACTAAATGCTGAGGCTCATGGAACGCTGTTACCTTCCCACCAAAGTGGTACCTATTTATCTACTTGCAATTTCTTGCTTTCGAACTGCTAAATTGGCAGGAGCTGGGGCCAGAGATCACGTGGCACTAGGGTCTCGAACTGCCAAACTACAGACCTTCCAGTCTGCAGCTCAGCGTCTTAAAACAGTGGTGCAAATAAAAGGTTCTCACCAGAGTCTTTGTGTTTTTACCTTTAACATTATCGAGATACAACATGCTGCTAGTTGATTTAAATTAATTTCATTGTTGCAATTTTAATTCAGTTGCAAAAGAGTTTGAATGAGTGGAGAGGTGAGGCCAAATGTTGTACGTCAGGGGTCTTCAAAAGGTAGCTGGTGAACTATCAGTATTTTTCTGGCTGCTGCAGAGTGGCTTATGCATAAGTTTGCCAACCTCCAGTTGGTGGCTGGAGATCTCCCCAGATTACAACTGGTCTCCAAGCAACAGAGATGAGCTCACCTGGAAAAAACTGCTACTTTGGACGGTGGACTCCATGACATTAAAATCTCACTGAAGCTCTTCCCCTCCCCAAATACTGCCCTACTCAGGTTCTGCTCCCCCCAAATCTCCAGATATTTCCCAACCTGGAGCTGGCAACTTCATGAACCCCCTAGACAGAAGACCCAGGAAAACAGCTTGAAAAGGACTGTTCTAGACTTGTTTTTAAAAGCGTTTATTTCATAGGATTTTTCTCTCTGCTGCTTAGCTGATAACTTAATTTCTTGTATTTTTCCTAGTTCTTGTTCTGCTTCCAGGGCACAACAATACTTGGTAACATGCCCAGGAGTGGGGGAAGTAGTTTGGGATATTTTTCATTACTCTGAAGTAGCTTTCATTAAAGAAAATGTTGATGTCCCCTGTTGTACATAAAATAATGTAAAGGTTGCCCTCATTCATGGTTGTAATGGTGTGTTAGGTTAGAAGAATACCTACTTTCCATATCTCATAGCTAGGGGTCCACTCAACAGACAGCCCAACAAGCCTCCCACACAGTAGACAGACACAACCAAGGACCAGAGCAGGGAGAGCGTTTTTTGGTGAAGAGGAGAGTCATATCGTTCTACCCAGGTTGCATTGATAAATTTCTTGATATCCTGGGATGAAAAAAAAAACTTTTAAAATTAGTGTACAACTTCAGTGCTGGCTAATTCCCTTTTTTAAAATACTAATTTTTCATTTAAAAATCATTACTATATGAAAAGCAGGATTAAGGGGGGAACCCTCTCTCCTTCCATTTACAAAATCATTATTTATTCTAGTAGGCAGAGGAACATAATCGGATAATCAGAAATGCAACCAAATCAGATTGCTGCTTTCATAGGGGCTATGTTAATCCACGGCTTCAAGCAGGAATCTAAGTTTCATTAACCAGACCTACTACTCGCTCTTCTTGCTGATATCAAGGGCATATTGACAGAATCAGTTGTTGGGAGAAAATACTTCTTCAGGAAGTTTGACACTGAAACAGCTGTCACTGGAAGCTGGAGGAAAAACAGGGTCAATCCCTTTGCTTGAGTTTTCGAAGGAGAGGTATTAATTTCCCTGGGGAACCCGTGGAGAGTTGCCAAGCTTTGCTTAATAGCTCAGGATGCAGTTATGAACTAGAAGGGGGTTGTATAAATATAGAATAATAATAAATGGCCAGCGCCATGTCAATAATAAAATGGCTGCCCCATGTCAAACAAATGTAGCAAAACTGGGTCACCCCCAGGGAAGGAAGGCATCTCTTTGTTCTTAATGTACTCCCCATATATACAGGGTATTATGGCTTTGTAAATTAACCAAGCCAAAGGTGACATTTAGGGGGGCGGGGACTCCAAACTGCTTCCTCCCCTGTGATGCCTTGTGGACCCCCTAAATATACATACACATTTCTTCTTGTGTGCTGCAACAGTGGATGGAAATCAAAAGAGCACTGAATATACTATGTGTGTAATATCTGGTTAGGTCCCAGTCTACAGGCCACCCAAGGACACTAATTTCCACACACATCTGAGGATGCCAGTCTCCACGTGCCCACTAACCAAATCAGGTGATTGATGCAGTGAATTCTGGCAGCCTTATTGCCTGTTTAAGGCAGAGTGGGGGGAAAGGCCTTGGGATTTAGCTCCTGATAAAGGTTTTCAGAGGGAACCATATCAACCATTGGTTAGGAGTATCACTGTGCAAGAGACTTCTAATACTGGCTGTAGATTTTTCCCCAATAGCACTTTTGGGCACATATTGAGCAATGAGCAGACCCATGTAATGACTGAGATCAATTTTAAAAGAGGAGAGGCAGATTGGCAACCAATATTAACTTAAGCGACTACATTACTTCCTAATATTGAATTTGATCAGAAACACAGAGTTAAGAATTGCACAATTTATAACACAAGTAAGCTCAAATTCCAAATTATTTCCATTCCACGTGCCTGATGCTTGCCCCCATGGCTTCAGAAGTTTCCTTCAGTTACAGAATCTTTCAGTCCTAGTCTGTCTCTCCACTTTCTTCTGGTTTTCCCAACCTGTGATGTGTGCTGATGTTTATTCATGCTCTTCTCCTCTCTCAAATCCTTCTTTAGCTTTCTCAACTCCTTCACCAACCAGCTTCTGATCCCTTACGTTCTCTTCCCTTATATGCCCCATTCTATTCACTTGCTCTGCATTCTATAAGGGCCAAACTACACATCTGGGTTTTAAATAAGTTGGGTCTGGGTTCCATTATGAGGGGGAGAGGGCTCCTACCTTACCCCCCAAGAGGTTTTCCTGCATGGAATAATCACTGGGAGATGAGTTGTTTCTCTGTTTTCACTGCTCTACACATATCCAGACAAGTGATCCACCCACAGAAGTTGTCCTCCTCTGCTCGTGAAGTGCACTTACTGGATTGGGGCCACTGTCTGATAAGCATCCACAGGACATTATCCAGCCTGTGCCTGGAAGGTCGACTGTGCAGTTATTTATAAGCCATCACTTACCTCAGAAGGATAGGTGATCACAGAAACCTGGAAGCCAATAAGGAAGTTTCCACCCACTCCTAACACAACGATCATTTGGAACAGTCGCTGGTATTGTACCTGAGAACAAAAGACATGTTTTCCCCCAACATGGTTATTAATATTTGCGACAGAAAATTATGTCACATACAATGAGCATTTATTTCTGTATAGTAGAGGTATCAGGCCTTTGGATGGGATACTCGCTGGGAGCAAGAGGGCTAGCAATGCTGTCTATAAATTTTATTTAAAGGTAAAGGTAAAGGTTCCCTTGCTCGAAAGCCAGTCGAGTCCTAGGGTTGCGGTGCTCATCTTCGTTTCAAAGCCGAAGAGCCAGCGCTGTCCGAAGACGTTTCCGTGGTCATGTGGCCGCCATGACTAAACACCAAGGCGCGCGGAACGTTGTTACCTTCCCACCTAAGTGGTATCTATTTATCTACTTGCAATTTCTTGCTTTCGAACTGCTAGGTTGGCAGGAGCTGGAACAAGAGACGGGAGCTCACTCCGTCATGTGGCAACCTGGGTCTTGAACTGCTGAACTACCGACCTTCCACAGCCTGCAGTTCAGCGTCTTCACCACTTTAGTACTATCAAAATCTTGCTGCCCATAAAGCCCCTTCTTAGCCCAACAGCTCTCCTGGGAGATGAAAAGCCTGGCTGTGCCTTCCAGCCCTCCTGAAGGCAGTAAGTAGCTGTCCAACAATTAAGCAAGAGATGCAGTATGAGCATTTGAGTGTTGCCTTTCATGTGTGCTCATCAGGCACTTTAAATGGCATATGGGAACTCAGTCAAAGCTGTGGTCCCCAACATGGTGCCCGGGCACATCGAGGCACCCACTGATGTGTTTCCTGGGGCCCTCTTGCTTCAGAGAGCCTTGAAGATAAAATCCAGAAAATGGAGAGCTTCAGATCACTCCCTGTGTGCTGCCTGACCATCAAAGGCAATGAACTTATCTTGGGCATATGTGCCACAGCTATGTGCCCTCAGCTTGGCCATTAACACAGAGATTCTTATATCCTGAGCTTGGAAAACTTCATCTGTGGCTACATGGGGAACAAACCCTCCCTTCTTCTTTGGAACCTGAAACCAAGCAGAATCTCTTCTCCAAAGTGAAGGGATAATCCCTGTTTTCCTCTGCCTCCTTAGTGCAGAAAATACTTTAGAGGAGCCCAGGAGACATCACCTTTGCATAAAAAAGCAGTACCCATTCAGAAACAGTGGCCTCCATTATATGCTAGTATTTTCTGGAGGCTTCCAAATATTTGAGATTGACCCCATCCCTTGGTAGCCATTTTGCAGTAGTGTCCACTATCCTTCCTCAAAATTCCAGAAGTGCCCACAGACTCAGCAGGGTTGGGGAGAGCCTGATCTAGCCTGATTGCCAGGCCGATTTTGAAGCACCAGCAGGCTGAACGTGCAGCTACTCACCAGGTCTGAGAGGAAGTTGGTTGTCATTGTCTTTGAAAAATCCTGCCTGAACTCCAGCTAGTGGAAGACGGCTGTCTGATGGAAGCTCTTTGGTCTTTTCTAGTTCAAAAGCAGGAACTGGAGTTGAAATTTGACTTCTTGGATTCAGCGAATTACAGCCTCATTAGGAAATGGCTGAAGGTGAATTCTCTTGGGTTAACGATTTCAAGAAGCAGAGGAGCCAACCCTGAGTCATCATGAGGACGGCTCTCAACAGTGGGCATGGTATTTATACCTGACTTGGTGCGGAGAACTGAGTAATGCTTCATCAGGTTTCTTCTGCCCGACTGATCAGGCCTGTGACCCCTGACTTTTGCCTCAAGAGGAGGCCTCTCCAATCTACAAGGGAAAAAAAGAACATGTTGCCTGCTAGTGCTTGGAACAGCAAAATTTAGGAAAAATGTGTGCCTTGCTGATCATAGAAGAAAGGTGGTGAAACTCGGCATCAATGTGTAGATAGGCAGAATCTACCACAGACTTGTGTTGAACACTCACTAACAGCAATTCATTTCGCAGACAGCGTACTCCTCTTGGAACCCATGGCACAAAGAGACGCTCAGAAGAAAGGCAGGTGATTTAAACAAACAAATAAATTACGGCCCCGGTCACACGGGTTGGATATCGCGCGGGGGGAGGGGAGGCGTGTGTTTGCCCCGCAGCGAAATAACGTGCAACTGCGCAATCAGGCGTTCCCTCGCGGTCCCGTCGAGGTCCCATGGTTAGGGGGAAGGTGCCGATCACACGACGTGCCAAAGAAGCGGCGCGGCATGGCAAACGGGGTTGTGTTTATTTTTTTTTTACCTGAAGTATGCGCATGCCCCGTTGGGTGCTTGTGCGCATCCCTGGAGACTTCGAAAAAAAACCCCTTTTTGCAATGGGGCATGGGCGAGCGCCGGATGCCACTGGAAACGCGATCAGACGCCCACCCTTGCCCCGCGGTTTCCGGAAACTAGTACCTCCAAGGTACTAGTTTTTAACCGCGCATCTTCGGAGGGAAGCCTCGGGTTCGCCACGGGAGCACTATGCTTCCCAGATTTGGCGGTGAGATCGCGCCCGGAAAATCCGCCTATCTTCTGTTGCAGTAGCGTGGCTACTGCTTCGTGTAACCGCAGCCAATGTATGCCACCCCTTTACCCCATCTAGCCTATAAAGCTATCCAAACCATGAAGATAGATCAAGGTGGGTAGCCGGGTTGGTCTGAAGCAGAAGAACAAAGTTTGAGTATAGTGGCACTTTTAAGACCAGCAAAGTTTTATTCAAGGTATGAGCTTTCTTGTGAAGGAAATAAATTTCAAAATTGGAGATTGATTACTCTCAGCATTCTAAAATTAAGGATACATCAATCTCCAATTTTGACATATTTATTTCCTTCACTGTTTTTGCCCCAGAATTGAACCCAAACACATAGTTACCATAAAGATTAACTTTATTATTCCTGTTTGATCCTCGTATTTGTTAAACATCTTAAATATGCCGTATGATAATTTATTGCTCACCCTCTACCTATATGTATGGACTGGTAATTTCCAATTTTATTTCTGTCTCTGTCTACACTCTAATTGGCCCTTCCTGGCAACTAACTATATGTAATGACTGAGGAAATTCTGTTTCACTGCATCTGAAGAAGTGTGCTTGCACACAAAAGCTTATACCTTGAATATAACTTTGGTGGTCCTAAAAGTGCCACTGGACTCAAACTGTATTATCCTGACCATGGCACACTGTTTTCCCTTGCTCTATATTATTATCTTCACAATAGCCCACTGAGGTAGGTGAGGATAAGATGAAATTGAGTGGAATAAGCCCACTCAGTAAGCGTCACAGCAGGGGATTTTAACCCCTTCTTGGTCCTAATTTGAAATATGAAGTATATCAGGGTCCCCAACCCAACCTTTGTGATCCTGCTGGCACCTTTGGAATTCTGACACAATATGGGGAGCACAGCCACAAAATGGCTGCTACAGAGCCAGACACAGCCGCAAAATGCCTGCTGCAGCTTACCTTCAGTCATACAGTGAAAATCCTTGTATTGTGGTGGCAGCTATTGCCTTTTTTTTTGGCCATCAAGCCACAGCTGACTTATGGTGATCCTGTGGGGTTTTCAAGGCGAGACATTCAGAGATGGTTTACCATTGCCTGCCTCTGAATTGTGACCTTGGTATTGCTTGGGTGCAGTGTTCCCTCTAAGCTTAGTGTGAGCTAGCTCACAGTTCTTTAGCCTCCAGCTCACAGATTTTTGATTTAGCTCAGGGAAGATGGCTCCAGAGCAAACTAATGTATGCAGTAGCTAAATTGCTCACTCACAACTTTAATGCCAGTAGCTCACAAAGTAGAATTTTTGCTCACAAGACTCCACTGCTTATAGGGAGCACTTCCAAGTACTGACCAAGACTAGCCCAGCTGAGCTTCCAAGATCTGATGAGATTGGACTAGCCCGGGCTATCTAGGTCAGGCCAGCTATTGCCCCAGAAATCTTCTCTGCCAATCAAAAGCCTTGCTGGGCAAAAACTGCACCAGGCCCCACCCACTTTATAGAAACACTTGGTGGGCACAAGATAGGTGTCAGCAGGCACCGCATTGGGGATCCCTGCACTCTACACTACCACACTGGCAAGGTAGAGGCGCTACTTTCCCAGCAAGCAGTCAGTCCCCTCCCCTGCCATGGTGGATCCAGCATGGATGTTTTGTCCACGCTCTTGTGTGTGCTCAAGACTTCCTCTCAAAGTGACATTTCACACTAGTGCAAGTGAATGAAGACTTTGCTGTGTTTAGATTGAGTGACTTCAAGGAAATTTCTCAGAAATCCCTGAAAATGTAGGGGTGGAGCTCTACATTTGGTCACTATGACCTCTAGGGAATGGATAACCAGTTTGTGTCCAGAAATAATACAAAATACAGTGCCCTGTGTGAAAAGTACGCAAACAGGGAGTGATTTCAGCAAAGTGTACTTTATTCTATCCGGAACAAGACAACTTTGGCCGGCTCGCAGGCCGGCTTATATCCCCCGAGAAACCGCCACCCCAAACACACCCCTACTTCCCTATAGGTTATTTACAGTGGCCGAGAGTCCCATAGGCTCTCGGCCGGGAACCTAGCCCCCTGATTGGAGCGAGCTAGGATCCGCATAGTCCATTGTCTCTTGGAGCGAAGCTCGACGTTTGTCTCTGGACTTGTCTGGACTGGATACATTACACTGCATTTGCGTTGCTGTCTTGTACGGCCCAGTTTATTTCCCGTGAACATTTACTATCTGCAGGAAGTGGAGGGAAGAGTGTATATGTGTGTGTGGGGGTGTTGATTCACTTCACCGCTGGATCTGCCTGACAAAGGTGGAAGCAGCAGAGAGGGGCCGCTTACTTAGGCAGAAAACTGGAGAGAGAGAGAAGGGGCTCAGGATTGCCTTTATGGAACTATCTTCTTGTTGCTACTGCTGATGTGGTTCACTAACTCCAAGAAGGAAGGCAATTTTGTATATAACATTTCATGAATGGAAGACCTGAAACTCAGGCCTAGTCTACACATCCCATTAAGTGAAGTCAGAGTGTTGGGGCACTAGACAAGTCTGAACCACTTAAGAGTTGAGGGATTAAATTTTTCAAAGTTCCTCTGTGATTTGTATACTATCAACCTGTGGCCCCCATCTGCTGGTCGCTAAATCCGCAGATTGGGGCCACATAGATGCTAAATGTGACACTCCATGCAAAACACTGGATACCCCCACTTCTCTACTGACTTTCTACCTTAGTAACTTGGTTGGTTGTTTAAAGGTGTTTTAGGGTTGACATAAGCTGCTTACCTGAATGTGTAACAATTTTTGTAGCAGGAAGGATACTGGGGTACACTGCCCTCCTTGCTGATATGAAGTTTGTATGTTCTTTTTCAGAAAAATTAGACTACAGGGGCTCTCCCTCCTGCTCCCGGTTGAGCTCCCTTGCTGAACTCCAAGTTCAGCTCCCGTTAGAAAACTCAACTGAATCGAAGCACTGGACTCAAGCCTTGCCTGCACATAACCTTCCCTTCCCTTCTCTTGCTTGCTCTGTCTGTGCCTACATGCATGTGGGAATCCAAATCACATTCATGTGTTGGTTACATGTTTTTTACCCAACCAGGCCTGACTGATTTTCTAAACTATTGTGGGTTGGGGGAAGAGTCAGTTATCGCTACTCGTTCCAAGTAAAAGACATGTTCTTCCTTATCTCATCAGATACTACAATATCAAAGCATTTTTCTACCATTGTCTTTCCAGCATACCATTATTTCATTCTCATCAAGAACAGCACTAATATCTCAAAAAGTGGTTAAAAATCCAAAGGATTTATTAAATGATGCATATCAATTAAAACTTCTTCTATCCACAGTCTTTCTTGCTACTGCCCGCATCCTCAACAAGTTCACAGAGAAGGCTGCATGACTGTACCAAATATGCAGCAGATGCCCTTCAGAGACAGAAAGGTCACCATGCTTAGGTCTCCTCCTAGCATCCCCCCATCAGACCTCCCACCCCCCCTAGACCCTCAGGGATCAAAAGGCATCAACAAGAGAGTTATGTTGAATGCTGCAAGTTTATGCTACAAAATGTGTAGTTTTTAAGATACTGTGGAACAAATCAAAGGTCATATGTCTTGGACCAGGTGGCTGAAGAATAAATAGCATTTGTATAATAAAAACACCTGGCGATCTTAATCTCCATAATGGGAACACTTGGGGATTTCTAACTCCAAAGTAGACATGCATGATGGACATGATTAACATAATAAAGGGATCTTCAAAGTAGAAATACAAGTGACAAATGATGTAATGTAATATATAAATAAACTATGCAGGAGTGCTGAATAATGATTAACCATGGAGTAATGGTAAAAATGGAAATTGGAGATGTGTTCAATAATATATGAATATGTATAAATCATAACGTAATTAACTATATATAGAGAGTAGATATAAGAAAAGGTCATGGGTAATAATTAAATAGGAGTGGGGTAAGGGAG